TCCGCTGTCCTAATCGCATTTAAAATAACCACCTAAAACCCACCCTTTAGCACCTTTTAAAGCTATTAATATTGCACATTCTTTTTATAAGCAATCTCTGCAGTTTATCCCCTTAAATTCTACTTGCTTTAAAGTTATGTTTTTCACAAATTGTATAAGCCAAAAACTTTCAGACATTTCCTGTTTTGCTGCCAATTATCAAATTAAAACGAAATCAGACACAAATTGCACATAAATTATATAATTGCATGTTCTTTTTAGCGCATATTTCACTGCCTTTTTTTTCACCAATCAAAAACAGCCACGAAATGCAAATGGAAAGGCAATCATAAAAATGGTTTAACATACTTTTCGGCTGTTCGCCTTGCTTTCCGTATGTAATTTGCACCCGCAAAAGTATTTTTTCCTTACGAGGTCATCATATAACCACAAACTTCTCTGAAGCTGAACAAAAATTTAATAACATTTGCGAAAAGTTTTACAAAAATATTTACAATACAGATTCACCTAAGCGTTGAGTTTAAAAACAAGGTAATTGCTTTTTTTTCCTGTGGCTTTTGATAGCCTAAACTAAAATCACATTTTAATCTACTTTCGCCCACTAGAGATATTTTTCACTCTTCCATTTTAACCACAGTAAAGAAAATGGAAAACATTTTTGCATCCTCTTTCAATTTGCCGGACTAATTAATTGCCTAGGCAAGGTATAAACGAGAAAACTTTTGGTTTGCTAGCGAGTGTAGATGAGTTTTTCAATAATTTCATGCTCCTTGGGGCACTGCGGTACGGTTGGAATCGTTAAAGTGGCCAAACTATAAATTGCCAGGACCCTTCAACGAGACGGAGAAAGAGGTGACTCTCTCTCTCTCTCTCTCTCTCTCTGTGTATGTGGTTGGTGGTGTCATGGCCGAACTGCCTGTCAGCCGGCCGCAGTGCATCATTAACAGCACTGAGCTGGGTAATAATGCCGACAACAGATGTGGCCATCGCTCAGTCCTACCATCTGAGACCAGAATCAAATTTGGCAAAACTAACGAAGTGTAAATTCACTTTACAGAAAACTGAGTAAGAGTTCATGGAGAAATTGATGGAGTTGTAAGGAGTTCTCTGAGTTTATTTGTTGTTAAAGGAAAACCACTAAATTTTGGGATTTATTTATGTTTTGTTTCCTTCCAAGTCCTTAAAAGTCAGTACAAGTTGATCTTTACCTAAGAACAAAGATCCTTTCTGGCAAAAACCCACCTAAAATTATAGCCAAACTTTATCCTTACCCCAATTAAGAATTCTGCCGCCTGTACAGGGTATTAGAAAGTCATATTTTAAAGCCATTTTCGGGGGCTTTGGCTATAGTTTGCAATGCTGATATGCGGTTGGCACAGTGGCAACTGCCACCAACCACACAGACAAGCTGACACAACTGACACACACTCCCACAGGCACACCCACATAAAGCTAAGCTGGAAAACAGTCACACCCACGAGTGAAAAGCGGCAAAGGAAGCGATAGGGATAAAGTGACAGAAAGAGAAAGATAGAGAGAGAGAGAGAGAGAGAGAGAAAGAGAGAGTAAGGAAATGATAGAGAATTCACTTTGTGTAGACTTTGCCGGATGATTGCGCCTAAGGATGCACTGAATTTTTCCTTCGAATTTCCAACGACTTCGACGGAGCCAAAGTTTTGATACCAAAGCCGCCCATCTTCACAACATTAGGTAGGTTGGTGCCCCGGAAAAGTTTTCGTAAACTTTACATAAAAGGACGAGGCAACCTTTTGGCTTTCCAACATGCAAATAGAATTAATTATAAATTTCTACCATTGTTTCGCTTTTACTATCCAATATATAGTGGTTTTTTTTAGCTCGTTAAGCTCTTTCGAAAAGGCTCTCAAGTATGCTGTAATTACGTGGCAAAGTAACCGGATATTTACGGAACTTAACGAAGTCTAATAATACTAATTGAACAAAGGATGCAAAGGAAGTTGCCACCTGGTAACTGGCACTTTCGAGTGCCAGTTTGAGTTTGAACTTAATTGCTGGAACAATTAAATCAGAAAAAAAAAAAAGGAAACACACGCATACATCTGTCTGGTCTGTCATATGCAGGATTTCACACACATGCCGGGAGTTGTGGTGGTGTATATTCGTAGAACAATTGCTCTAAACATAGCCAAACACTCGTACATTTGCTGCGATAAAATGTGTGTTAGACATCGACTTGTATAAGAGTTGTTTGTGAGATTTTCCAAGTCCTGCTGCCTGGCCCCCAACTTATTGCTGCAACGAACGAACTGTGGAATCCCTTTGATTCCATTTATTGAAAGGGCAAAGGAATCACATATTTGATTGGATCTCAACTGGGGTTATATAGGTTAGATAGATTAGTTTACATTGGCCTTTTGTTGCTAGGCAAATGGGGATTTTGATTTTGTAACTTACAAACTTGCTCTTATTAGGAGTAAGTTTTTCCATTTGACCTTTCGTTTTTGGGCATTTTGGATGCATATTTTTGTCATTTTATTCCTTTTTCTAAGATGAATTTATCTCTCGTTAATTTATCCATTTTTCATAGCATACCTTTAAGGGCGTACTAGATTACTTTCAAGGATAATTCCCTCTTAAGAAGGGTATTTGATATTCATTCATGCTTTCATTCACCCTCCTATCCTTATAGACATTCCGGAACCTGTTTGTTGTTTTCATTTACAGTCATTGCTCGAAGCTTTACGCCCACACAACGACACGCGTTGAACGCACACACACACACACTTTCATTCACATTCGCATTTAAACAGTGCCACAGGCATGCCGCATATTGAGTTACAGGCAACGCGGCGTATGAGCAATGCAATAAGCCGGAAAGCGAAGGAAATAGCCAGAGCATTAACTCTTTTCATTTATTAATTTCAATAAGAATAATGCTTAAAGAATCGATTCAATTTCCCTACAATGTTTACCTTCTGCCTTTGGACAGAAGTGCTATAGTGGGTACCTCCCCTCCCGTGTCTCGTGTCCCATGCCCCTTAAGCCAGTCATTGTGCCCTTTTTTTTCTGGCCGTGTCCTTGTCCAGAGCAATCAACATTGGCATTCTTCAGCTTGCCCTTTCAGCTCAATGCCATTCACGCAGGACTCTTCATTCTTTTCCTTTTTTTCGTTGCATCCTTTCTTTGTCGACGGCAGCCATTTCCATTCGCCGGAAGGAGCTGGGACAGACGGACGACATCAGTGGACATCCAGGGAATGCTTAACATTTTTACCATGCAACTTCATTTGACTCATTTGCGCTTTATTGACAATTTATATGGATTGCCAAGCACCGCGCTGAAAGCCTGCATCAGCGTCAATGAAATGTTAATGTAAGAGTCCTTGCTGAATATAAAGATGAGCGCGCCGCCAAGTGGCTGGCAAAAATGAATAGGAATTTAATTTCATTTCAATTTCAAAAGAGCAGGCTAAAAGCCCCCGTTGAGGAAAATCGATTTAACGAAGCCGACTTAAGACGTCGCCTATCCAATCAGCCAGCCATGTAACCATCCATCAATACCATCAATCGAGAGTCAAACTAATAGATTTCCTTTTGATAGCCTTCAGCTGCTTATCTTTTCAGCTAGGCTAACAAAACAATCCGTTCCACAGCCTAAACCGGAAATTGACGAAGCTCAGTTGCATTGAAATTCATGCGTGGCCGGAAAAATCTAATTTATGAGTACCACCCAGAAAGGGCTGAGTGTCGCAATTGGTTATGCACAAAGCCATCCTCATCTGTGTCCTATATTCCTCCATGCACCAGCTGCTGCTTTAACCCCCCGTAAATTGCTGGCACTACTAACTTGAATGTATGGCAAACAATTATGAAAAATAGAGGAAAAACCCTCTCCTTTACGCTCAAACAACAAAAGATGTACCATAGACATAGATAAAGTGATGGGGCAACAAGTGCATTTCATTCAACGACTCTTACAACATCTCTCACGCCCGAAAATTCTGTCTCATCCCAGTGATTTATTAAGTTCAAGTGCTAGAAATGGTAGTGCCTAGAAAAAGGGAAGTGGAAAACTGTAGAGATAAAACTGAAATATGAAAACTGGCGACCGTGGCAACTCTGTCTCCAACACTTTAACCGTACCACGCTGCGTATGCGTATTATCCAGCCACCCCATGTATGCGTATGTAATCTAAGCCAAAACAGAATAGAAGCAGGGACTAGAACCATCAGCAGCAGGATGAAATGGACAGGGTCGAAGGACAGCAGACGGGTGTATCTGGTCCGTAGTTGAAATTCAAATTGGATTTGCGAATGTAATGGACAACAGGCTGGAATATATGCAGAGTCCAGTGAGAATTCCTGACGAAGAGGCAGGCACAGGCTTTTAGGTTGAACACATGCCTGCTCCCAAGACTCAACGTTGATTATGATTTATTATTCATCTGCGATCGAAAAGTAGTCATGAATTGGTTTTTTTAAGTAATACAATAGCAGGCTAAAGAAGGTTATGGGAGCAGAAAGGTTAGATTTTGCAGCTTCACGGGGGTGAAACAAGAATTCTTAATTTCTTATGGTTGCTTATAAAGGATATTAACATGATTTCGATCAAGAGAATTAATATAAGCTTGGGATTAGGATTCTGTTTTGAAAGTAACAAAGTGTATGGAATCTTAAATCTTAAGAAGTTTTAATAGTCTTAACCACATTTTCACGGACAAATCTTTAATATAATGATTTCGAATTTCAAAAATCTTCATTTATTGAAACTATAAAATCTGAAAAAAGTACAAACAGCATAGAAAATTTCTTAAAAACAATGAATTTTGAATAAACAAATATTTCTAAAATAAAAAACCATTTTTAAAAGGTTCTAAAAATATTTTAATATTTCCGTATTTCTTTATTAAGGATTAAAAGGATTTTTCCTTAGTTTTTTTTTTCACAAAAAACAAAAACAAAACAAGTTTAAAGTCAAAAAATTCGCCTCTTTAATACATAAAAAGTACTGCAGATCATGTACACAGCAGCCGGCGTCGCTGCCTCTGTCGCAGTTCTGCCACAGTCACCGCCAACTTCTCAGTCCGTCGGACCACAACGGCGGAATCGGCGACGAGCGCCTGCGATTTGGAATCGGGCATTCAGTTCGGTTTGGCGAGTCGAGCGTGTGCGAAGCGCTCAGAAAATTGCGCACCGAAAAGACGACGACGGACGACGGGAAAGCTCTCAGAAGACGCGCGTTTTCCAAATCCGCAAATACTCAGTTTCTAAAGAGCCAACGGCTTTTGGTTTTTTCGAGTGCATAATAATTATTTTCAACTGTATGCTCAATGATATTGGCTTGCCAATAGCAGCTGTAAAAATAACAAAAATAAAAAACTCGCGATAAGATAAAAAACGCATAATTAAAAGTAAATAATAACGAAAGACACACTTTGGATCTTGAGAAATGTGCAGCGAAAGAAAACAAAAAACAAGCTAAAAATAAACATTTAAAAATACAAAAAAAAATAAATAAAATAAAAAGTGAAATTGAAATGAAAAATTGTTGGTTTGGCGACCAAGTGAATTGAAGTGCTTAACCCATGTTCACAATTAACACTTGATCATATTAATGTTAATCAAAAGGCAACAAATGAGCAGCAAAAACCACCTTCCGGGCCTAACCACAATCGATTCTACTTTGATTTGTTTTGCCAATATTTATGGAATTTGCATTCATTTATTTGTCATTTTCGATTTGTTTACCATTTCAGTTTACTATGTACCCAAACACAAACACTTTTCTGATTAATGGCACAAGCTTGCCCACAAGCTAAACACAAAATTTTCTATATGATTTATCCATGGCGAAATGCTCTCTTTAATGAATGGAGTTTCCAGTAATTGAATCAAATTTAATTGCCACTTTGAACTAGAATTTCAGTTCAGTTTGGCTTAAGTTTGTGCAAATTTAAATTGTTTTTCCTTTGATTTGTTTGCTTTTTTTTCTTAATGTTTGCTGTTGTCTCCCAAGCAAACAAAATACTTAGCCAGTAGCCAGATTTCAGATTTTAGATACCAGTCGCAGTAGCCAAACGTGTTTGCTGTTTTTTTTTTTTATGTTTTTTTTCCAACCTGCATTTTATATTTGGTTTAGGTACTTTACGGGTTTCGTTTTTCTGTACATTTAATTGCTCGGACACCAGCAGTATTTAAAGCGTCAACTGTTAAGCCGGGATATTGCATTTATGGTAGGGAAGACTGTGTATTCCCAAAAAACAAACCAAAAGGAAAACCACTCTCTGACAAAGAACCATGCGAAGTGCAAAAACTATTAAAACCATCGATATGGGTGAACTCACATCTCCAGAGGATTGGTATCCAGTGGGGCAGGGAGTTTGCTCTGCTGGCTAACTGGGGAGTGTTGACAGACGGCCTGAACTTCCAATACAATTGTTTTCAATTTTTGGTGGCTGATGTGCAGATATTTGAAAATTGTCTTTGCCTGTCAGTTTTTCTAACAGTCTAAATGGTCGAAAATGAAAACAAAAACTCCTAAAAGATTTAGCACACGCTTTTTGAGTAGATCAAAAAACTAAAGCAGACCAAAAATATATATTATATAAGCCTTTAATGAACTGCTCTTAATGATAGGTTCATTATTCCTGTTTCAAAAACTATCATTAAGTAGTTAACTATTAGAAGCTAACATATAGTTAGAAACTGAAATTAAAAATAAAATGAAATCTATAATTTTAATCGAACTTTAAAGCAAGAGCATCTCCTCTCCACTCTCCACACTGGCATTTCCTTTCAATGTTATTCGATTTCTAAATGGAATATTCAACATAGCCTGCATTTTGTTTTCATTTTCACACTTTTTGTTATGTTTTCCCTTTTCCCCCGTTTTTTCCATTTTCAAAGCATTTAAAAAAAGAGAGTAAACATTCTACATAAATATTTCTAAAAAAAAAAGAACACAAATTTCCTTGTAAATAGAACACTTTCCGTGGGCAATCGAATGAGCAATTGCAATATGCAATTAAAACGCCTACGAAAGGCGGACTTGATTTATGCTCAGCGTGTCAGTTTGTTGCGACACTCTGTCACCTGTCTCAGGTGTCTGGGTTGTCTGAGGTGAATCAAAGCATGTTAATGGCTAATTCCGTTGATTGATAATCACAGCGTTGTGATGTAAATGAGCACAGTAATTGCTTAGTTATTTTTGATCTTTAAGATCAGAACATCCTAATAATTAAATATGGCTTTGCCTAATTCTTGAGAACAATTCCATGACAATTACGTTGCCGATTACCTAACCCATGAGTATTACGCGTCGTTCAATTGTGTTTTCATTTTCCTCAAGTACGGCTATAAATAAAAAAAGTACTCATATGCAGCTCAAATTACTGGCAAACAGGAAAAAAAAAAAAAAAAACCAAAAACAAAAACCAAAACAACAGAATCAGCTTGGCCAGCAGAAAAAGCAAAAACCAATCGAAATAAAGAACCAAAACAAAAATATTAGCCAACAAATAAAGAGAGTAGTAATGACCGCGAAGAAGGCTATTAAGAAGTGATAAAAATCGACTTATTAATACCCTAATACCCCATTTTTCCAATAATTAATATAAGGCAATTAGAAAACTGGTTTCCCCACCGACAAAAACTAAAAATTAAAAACCAAAAAACTTCCAAACATGAATGTATGCTTAATATTAGGTCGATGAATGATCCATAAATAAGCATCAGAACTAATTAGTTAATTAACTAAATGATCGATTTAATGACAGTTAACGGTTTCAAATTGCCAGAAAGGGGAAACAAATCCACGTCGGTTTATTTGCATAGTTTCAGCTCTGAAAAGTAATTAAGCAACATGACCAAGTCGATGACAGCAGAAATGCTATAGGTGGGGAGGTAGATCGGGGGAATACAATATATATATATATATATATATGATCCAAAAATAGCCACAACAAAACGACAGGTGACGTTTGACTGGCTGGCCAAGTTGACCAGTTAAACAACCTATTAATAAAGCGTGAACTTCATTAGTCAGAGGCGAGAGAAACAAATAAGTGAATTAGCATAAGCCGATGAACAGCTGGATAGATGGATGGTCGATGCCCAACGCGGCTTTAGGCCAACGAAATGGGCGAATTGTAAATTAAAACATCATAAATCATTCGGCTTGATCAGTATGGGGGCTCAGAGGGCTAACGGAACTACAAAACTATTCAGACACGTAGAGAAAAGGTGATGAGAACTAAGAAATTTGGGAAAACATCTTTAAGTAGGAATATGGAGCTTTTCTCCTTACTCACCATAACACATCATAGATCATCTAACTCCCATCTTAATATTAATATTTGATATCCAATCAACTCCCCTACATTTTCTCTCTCTGCATCGATTGCTACCTGATTGAACGATGATATTAGGGGCAGGGGCAACTCGCAAACAGCTGGAAGTCGAGGGGTTCGCTTGGTTAATCCACGGCACGTGTAGACTCTTAAAGACCCAAAAAAAAACTCAAATCCATAGCGTACAAAATTGAAAAGCCAAAACAAAAATAATCAAAATGTTAGCTACAAAAAAAATATAAAGCCTTATTTGTACGACAATATAAAATTGCTTGGAATAAAACACTCTCCATCTCTGTCCTCTGTAAATGCCCCTTTCTCCACTCCGAAATTCACAGGGAGATCGTCAGCTCAAGTCTCCAATTGACCCATATTTCTTGTCAAATTTTTATTTGGCATTTGATGGAACGTTGACTGGCGCTGTCAGCCTTGAGAATTGGAGTTACAAAGGTCTTTTAGATATAACCATTTTTTATGGTATCTCTAAAGCAGCTTCTTTAACTTTAAATCTTAGAAGAAGAGATCTGACTTTACTGCTTGGAGTGCCGCAAATTATAACAAAAAAAAGTTAATCCCAAATAGTAAAAAATGTATATAGAAAAACCACAGCCAAAGGGCATCATTACGAAGCTTTAATAATTTTTTCATATATCTTTCTCTAAGGCGAATCGCATTGTGTCCACTCTTTCTTCTCCGCATTGTATTTATTACCATTGTTCGTTTTTTGTCTTAGACACTGTTTTTTTTTTTTGCTACATTTGAATGCCTTGGAGGGCTCTTTTTGTCTGGGTCTATTTTTAGATTTATAAAAAACATATATAACTCCATGGCTATAGAGACATTCGAAAGAAGTTTAATGAACGGATGATGCCGTGATGATAATCGCCGGCGAATGGGAAAATTGGTCAAGAGTTAACCGAACTTGAGCTGAGACCAGGAACTGTCCCCAATAAAGCGATTGAGGTTTTATAATGTCGAATCATTCTGACTCTTCATTTCCTCTCAACAAAGCAATTCTTTACGTTCCTTACTTACTTTCCTAATTGCCGTTAAATTTGCAACGAATTTGATGTTTTGGAAAATCTAGGGGAACATATATGCTTAACGATTTTGTAATATTCAACCGCAAAAAAATAATCCACTCTCGGAATACGTGTCATCGGCAGCAGAAACAGCAACACCAACAGCAACAAGCCGCACAGGTGAAGGTCAAAAGAATTTTAAATACCGCACTTCCAGTGTATTTTTAGCCCTTTTGTTTTTAAATGCGTTGTCAGCTTGAAGTGGGTTTAAAAAATAAAAAAAAAAAAAAACACAAATTATACTTTGTTTACGACTCTCAATCAATTATTTTGTGTATTTTGTAAACACAAAGTTCAAGCCACAAAAAGATGTCATACGGGTTTGTTTAACCTGAAATATATTTTTTATATTTTTTTTCATCTTAATAAGCAAATTCTGTTGAATTAGAAACTCCAATGGTTTCAGTTTTGTATCAATTAATTTATGGTTCTATATGACTTTTGAATTATGAGTACATTTTGTGCGGACTTTCTAGGCCTAATAAATATTTGCATAAATTTTATAACCTTTTGATTAGAAGTTTCTCATCTAAAAATAGCCAAAGAGCCTTTTGTTACTTTCTTTACAAAGGCCAAACGTTATTCGTAGATCTTTTCAATAGATGATTTCTTTGACCTAAGATACTTGATATTCAAATTCAAATTAAAAGAAAATTTAACCAAAAAAAAAAGAGAGTTGGTATGAAAAAACCCTTCGATTGTTTTCGTTTTGGTTATTTGCATGGCCACACAAGTGTTTTTACAGGAAAATTTTTGCAATGTGGCTTGTTCACGGGTTGCATTTTAAAATTTAAAAATACATATAGTAAATATTATTTTGAATTTTCGGGGCAAGCCATTCAATGGCCATCTGCTGCGGCTGTTCATATATGTGCTCAAGCGTAAAGCATCTTGCGAATGCTTCAATAATTCTGAAGAGACAATAAATAAATTCCAACCAACAAAATGTCCTGCTGTAAAAAGTGCTAATTAAAATCGATTGAGAATAAACAAAAAAAAAAAAAAAAATAAGGGTGAACATGTACATGATGGACGAACCAGTTTGCTAATGAAAACTCCGAGACGGATAATTAAATTTGAACAATCGTCGGTGATTAATAAAAATTAAACAAAAACGTGCAATTAATAAACGAAAAATGTTCAATTTACCTCAGGTTTTTGCTGCAAAATGAATTAAAGGAAAGAGCCGAGTGTCAAAAAATAAAAACAAAAGTGTTTTAAAAAACATACGCATAAATAATGCGATCAAAATCAGTGACAAAGATCAACGCTTGACAAACACGACAACGATAAGAAGAAAAAAAATTCCAAAATAAAAACCAAACCGCCAGGGAGGACTCCTCTCCTCCGTCCGAGATGCCACAAGCTGGCCAAGGACTGAGCCTGCTCCTTATTCTGTGCCTGCTTCAGGGTCTCCTGTTTCCCTGGAGTGCTGCCTGGTTCTACGATGCCGAGTCCGTGGGCGGAGTGGCCAGCATGGGCGCCGGATCCGATGAGCATAGCTTCAAGACCCCGGAAACCAAAAACTCTCACAAATCTCAAAGCACAGAGCTCGTTCAGCACTTTCCCAGTATCCCGATGACGGATCATCGACATCTGGGTGCTCGAAGGCAGTTGGTTTTCGTGGCTTTACTCCCTTCTGTAGAGTCGGATAACAAGAACGACTGCATCATGCCCAAGGTTTTGCCTGTGCTGGAGCTGGGCATCAGGCATGTTCAGCGGTTGGGCTTTGTGGGTGGCACTCACTTCGACATCCAGCTGATATCAAGAGACACCTTTTGCTCTTCTAAATATGGACCCATTGGCTTCTTTGAGATCTACACTCAATGGGCGGAGGTGAATGCTGTCTTTGGTCTTCCCTGCGAGTACGTCTTGGCCCCCATTTCGCGGTACGCCGATGTCTGGCAAGTTCCCGTCCTCACCACCGGCGGCAATGCCAAGGAGTTTAATAAGAAGTCCGAGAGTTACTCCACCCTCACCCGTCTCAAAGGTGCCCAGGTTAATAATCTTGGCAATGTGGTCCGGGCTATCCTGAACAGCTTTAATTGGACGAGAACCGCGTTGATTTATCAGAATGAGAACGCCAAGGTCAAGGGCAACTCGGTGTGCTTCCTCTGCCTGGCCGCCATTCATGACACTATCGAGGAGCACTCCGTCTACCAATTGGGATTCGACACCTCTACGTGGACCAAGGCGGACATCACGCGGATGCTAAAGAATGTCGCCATGCAGACGAGAAGTAAGTCAATGATGGGAGTTAGAAAGTTGTTTTTGGGTGGAAAGTGGAAATAGGAAAATCCTTTTTTATCTTTAATTTGAATTTACATGAATTTTAAAACTCTTTCAAAAGTTTTTGTTGTGAATTTACAAATGAATCTTAGACTTTTATAAAAAGAAAGAAGATGCTTGAAATGGCCAAACTAAAGACTAAAATAAAGTACTTTTTGACTTACATTTAATTTGCATATTCTTTCACTCAAGAGAAATATTTGCAACTGCCATCGGCAACATTTTGAAAGCAAATTTAATATTAATAGTTTTTTAATTGATAAGAATTCCGAGAAACACAATTTCAACCTTATTTGCAAATTAGATGTGTGTAATAAAGATCTCAGGGAAACCTTGGCGTCTCCGCTGGCCATCCGATGCAATTGCAAATGCCAATGCATTTTAGCATGCAACCAACCCTGAACTTTGCGACCTCATTGCGTGCAGCATTGAGAGCGAAATCGATCTAATTATATTCGGCAAATGTGACAGGGAGAAGTTCAAGAAACCAAAGCGATAGGAAATAGAGGGGTTGTGTGAATAAATAAATTCGATTTTATTTATAGGCAGACCATTGGCCATGTACCATGGGGCGTATGAGCAATGTTTACAGTTAGCTATTTAACGCGGGGGAAATGTGAAATTTGATGAATTGACTGCTGTCAGAGAATCAATGTTGTTAATTAACTCATCTCAGATTGGCAACCGAGGCAGTTATAAAGCCATCAACTGTCGCGGACACCAAATATCAAGCATACGCAGCGTATGTCCGATCGAATGCCATTGTTTAATTACAGCTCATTTAATTTCATTTATTGGCAATTAACACAGTAAACAATTACATTCGTTATGCATATGAGTCGCAGTTCGATTCGCAGTTCTATGCTAATTGAATTTTAATGGGAAAAATGGTAGAAAAAAAAAGGTAGCGGGCCAAAGTTGGCCCAAACACTAGCAATGGACTAGGGAATACGCTAGCTAAAGTGACTAAACGAATGGGATTTTAATTGTTATGAATGGGCATTAAAAATGTAGGAAAATCCAATTTAAACACAAACTAAAGCTAAGCATATAAATTCTGAAACCACAGCAAAAAGCTGGCGACAAATCTGATAAATTTTATCGAATTTAATGGCTTTTTAAATAACACATAATGATGGATTTTTTGTGCCTAGAATTTTAATGGAATATTATTTTCGGGTTTGCCGACAAAGAAAGTAGAATTTTTGATTATGACAACATCTAACAATAGAACTCGGTTCAAGGGCAGAGCAGTAATAATACTTTCTCTTTGAAGATCCAAAAAAAAACGATCACTCATTTTTCAAATAAATCTGTACGTGATTTGGTTATCTTATTAATCTCATGATTTATTGTCAATCGAATTCCTCGCATTTGGGATTGAATTTACAGCACAGGAAATTTCATTCTTAAATTGAAATTTACTTTTGAGTTTGTTATAAATTATTTGCTTTGTAATTTGATATCTTCCTGTAATCATTGTTAACTCAGATGGCCTTTTTATTGCCTTAACCAAATTTATATTGCCCTGCCAATTGATTTATTATTTAATTTAAGTCAACAAAAGATCTTTTATAGCATTTATGCTGAATGACACCATATTTATTGGTAATAAAAATCAGATGTCAAACACAAAAAAAAAAACAAAAACATCTCGAAATGAGTCAAGTGACAGCTCGGAAGTCAACAACGGCCAAAAATGCATATGCAATATTTAAACGCAGGAAAGAAAATAAAAATTGTATAATTAAATCAAGTCAATTGCACGTTTTTGCTCTGAACTTGAAATCGTCTTGGTCCGTTTGTCTTCTATTCATTTTCCGAGTAATTAAATTTCCGAGAGAAAAGGCAAAAAGATGACGTAGAAAATTAAGTTGAGAGGCAAAACAAAATTGCTGTTGATTGTCTTATGTGTGTTTGGCCTCATATGCTGGCTATCAATAGAGGCAAGGGATTTCACAATTAATGTGGCAAGCATTTGTTTGCAACATATATTTGACAGGCAAATACGGCAGCAGCCAATTTGCATATCATGCTCTCCTGCACCACACGTCGTATACGCAATTACATTTGTCAGCTTATGGGCTTATGGAATGCAACATGAACATTTATTTATAAGTAGCACTGACAATGCAATTTGTAATTGATAAAATTAAACATGAACTTTACAAGGTTGAGGAATCAAATTTCAGATTTTTGGTTTGTTTATAATTGCCTAAATGGGTTTGTTTGTCTTTACATTAAGGAGTGATCTGAAAACCAGGTTTAAATTCCTGATTCGCTCGATTAAATATTCATGAAATATAAAATATTTATTTATGATGACACATCTAGTCTCAGCTTGATTAGATACTCTATATATGTCACAATTTAAATACTAAGTTGAGCTGCAAAATTTGTAGAGATTCCATTCTCTTCTACTCTATGGCATATCGAAAGCATTCTCAAGCATACTGTCAAACACATATCAACTTGAAACTGAAACTGAAGCACCATTAAGATCTTTTGGTTTTAATTTAAGAAACAATGTGTTTTCGGTGTGTGCTTCCCTTTTTCGGAATTACGTTTTGCCCTGGCACTGACGTCAAGGGAACTGACATGCTTACAAGTCTCATTTTTGAGTCGGGCGAGAGAAGCTCGACAACTTTTTAATAAATTAATACATTTTTAATGACTGCCGCTGCTGCTCTGCTAGCTTCCAGTAAAAAGACGAAAATACATTTAACTTTTTTCCATCTCGTTTTAATTGTTATTATATATATATTATATATATTTTTTTTTTTGCAGTTGTCATAATGTGCGCCGATCCGCAGTCGATACGTCAAATTATGCTGACAGCCGAGGAGTTGAATATGATCGATAGCGGCGAATATGTTTTCATCAATATTGAATTATTTTCGCGGTGAGTATCTCAACACTAAACAAATGTATGAATTACTTAACAAAGACACACACACTCTTACACACACTCATTTATGGCAATTGCCAAACAATTTGCTGCCTTTCACTTTGATCAAAAATGGTGGAAAAAATCCACGCGCGCTCTCGATATTTCGATAGAAAAAAACAAAAATAATAATATTCTTTACAAACTGCGCATGAGCAGCATTAGTCAAGGTTGTTAATGTTATGAAATGTACCAAGCAAAGCGATCTTTATAAATAGCTTCTGCATTTACCTCACAAGAGTCTAACTATTTTTAAATTGAGGAAATTCCATATTTCGGCATATGACTTGGCTCGATCGATTAAAGCCAGTCAACCAACCTCTGTTCTCTGTTCTCTGAACAATGGACGACAAGCAAAGTGCTCACTACTCACTACTCACTAGACCTCGACTTCGAGCCATATTTATTATGATTATCCCACAAACATTAGTGCTGAGTAATGCCCCAGCTTCTTTGTTCCAACCAAAGAGAACTTCCAGCCAGCTCTTTGTTTGACCCCCCTTGATAGAGGTTTTTTTCAACTAAGGAAAATTTAAGTTTTTCTTGCTGAATTTTCATAGATTTTAATTGCATTCAAGTTATATTTGCATGTGCATTTAATGCACTCTAATCGCTCGACCTTCATGACACTCGCAATCAATGGAAAAATGCTGCGTATATATGTATATAATATAATGTGTATATAAACTAATCTATATACTAGTGCAGCAAGGCGTGTGTAAATGCCGGTATATGCATTGGATTAGCTAATCAATTTCCTGCTTGCAAAAGCTCAAAGTAAACAGACTGAAAGATAATTAACCTATTATTAGAATCCCTTTTGATTTATTGCAATGATTTGTAACTGTCATTAATTGGTCTTCGGGTTTTTGGACTTATTGATATTAATTATGATTTAATCTTATATAAGATATATACTTAAAAGTTAATAAGAAAGTACGTTTATAAGGATATAGTTAAAGTTAAAATATAGATACCATAACATTCGTTTTTAATGCTACTTCCTGATAGTACTTATTTCTCATAACAAAACTATTCATTCATAAACCTATCATTAAATCAAGAATCTCTTGGAAACCCACAGCTGACGTCTATATACTACAGTTAATATAGCTTAGTCCATAATCAATATTTTTAAATGCCAGTAGCCGCTAACATTGAAGAGTGAACCGGGTGAGACACATGCGAAGCCCAGATGATAACAGGGTTTGGATTCCGGGGACGGGCTAGGCTAATGAATTCCAAATGCATTTACATGAAATCAAACTGAAAAGTGGCAGTATGTGTGGATCCGCACACTTTACAATTCTATTTATAAACAATTTATGACGCATATCAATAGCTGGTAATAAACTTAAACCATAGGCGGGACAAAGGCGAATTCTAATGGCATTGATAAGAACTAGAAAAAAAAAAAATAACTGAAAAAAAATCTGAAAATTATCAAAAAGAAATGATTAAAAATAAAAGGGCCAACTGTATAATCGGTAAATATAGTTATTTATAAGGCATGCAGTGGTAAAAAAGTAAACTTGAAATCAACCGAGAAAAACTTTCATGTACATGATCTGAGAATTCGTGATTCAAATTCAGTTTAACCTTTGAAAAGCCTACACAATCGCCACATTATGATACAAAGACTGATTTAATTTTTCATTATTTTTACTCTGCAGGGTTCAATATCTGACATCACAGCCCTGGTACGATAAGAACGATACGGATTTGAATAATGAGCGGGCCCAGAAGGCCTACACCGCCATGTTGACCGTGACTCCCAAACAGCCGAACGACAACGAATACACCCGGGTCTCCAATGAGGTGAGTGGTGGTATGGCCATTGGGAAAAGAAGCTGGTAGTTGGGGAGCTAGTAACTGGAAAAGCTGGGAAGCTGATGGTGTATGGTATGCTTGCATTTGCATGGAAATGGATGTGGAAGCCAATTTGAAAATTTTTGCAGATTTCTTTTGTATTTTTTTTTTTTTTGCACCCTTTTCGGCTCCATCCTCATGCATACTCAATTCCGTTGCACGTTCCCTCTTAGCCGCAGCCTATTTTGCATGGCAACAGGCAACGGTAGCAGGGCAGCAGGGGCAAAAGGGGCTTGGAACTGTAAACATTTTTCTGTTGATACATGGTAAATTTGCAACAAACAAAGCCGACAACACCTGAGAGCATTTACTGGCCAACGAAGAGCCCTCGAAAAGCTGGTGCCAGACACCTGAAAACCGAATGAATTTGCTGTTGCAATTACTGATAAGCACTGGCAGGCAATCCATGGAGGTGGCCAACTCTAAAGAGGCTTCTTTAGACTGCAGTCCGTCCGGCTAATGACACTCGGCTCTTCACGAATCTGTTGGCTACTTAGTCAGTGGAGAGAAGGAGATGAGAAAGTGCACACGAGAAATGTTGATGATGGTTCTCGGTTTTGCAGGCTCTTATGAAAGTTAGCACGTTGTAAGCCGATATACGAGATACAAATATGAGATATATCTTAAGTAAAAAAGCAAAGAGAGCTTAGTGTAGGGGATAGTATAAGCCAATCCTAAGTAACGATGGTTACTTTGGATGATTCTGATATGGAACTATGGTTCTATTGCAGATTTTGTAAGAATAAACTTCGTTTCGAAAGAGATTTAATCAAATTAAAGTTTCTTCAAGTGCATTCATCTGCCAATAGTTGACAGAACTCAGGTGGCCACCTGGCTTACAATCCATTCACATTCCCTATCGCCAGCCTTTAAGGATTGCAGCTTAAATCGTCGGCTTTCTTGGCAGAAAACTTACGCTCCACGTACATTTGCAACCGCAGCTCCGGCCAAATCCCGGCATCGCCGCTTGTCAAAGGAGAATGGCGAGCGAAATCCGCCAGTGGCACATTGGAGTGCGGTGTGCAATAATTTCCACATGGATTGTGATAAAACGTCCAAGACCAGGACCAGGCGTCTTCCTTCCGTCTGCTCCCTCTGCACCGTTCCGAACGAGCGAACGCGTAATTGAATTTTCACGGGGGCCAAAGCAATTAAAGAGGAAAAGCGTTAGGAAAGCGAAGGGAAATAGAAGCCCCTCGGCGACACATAGAATAGGATTGGGAAAAAGGGAAAAGAAAAGTGGGGGAAGAGTCAACTGCCAGCTGAAGGAAGATTAATGTGTCGCGATTTGCCCGTTTTGCCATTTACAGATCAAAGCCATTGCTGCGGAGAAATACAATTACACATTCAGCGACAACGAGCCCATTTCGGCATTCGTCACCTCCTTCTTCGACGGAGTCCTACTCTATGCCAATGCCCTCAACGAGAGCATCCGGGAGGATCCCACCATGCTGACACGACCTATTAACGGCACCGACATGGTGCGACGCATGTGGAATCGCAGCTTCACTGGCATCACCGGTAACGTGACCATCGATGCCAATGGGGATAGACTTTCTGCCTACTCACTGCTGGACATGAATCCTACTACTGGCAGATTCGAGATCGTCGCTCATTTCCTGCACAACCGGCTGGAGTTTGAGGCCAACAAGGAGATTCACTGGGCGGGTGACCGAGAGGAGGCGCCATCAGATCGACCCACTTGTGGCTACGATGGTGCCTTGTGTCCCGATAATTGTAAGTATTTATCATATAATTTTTATAAGTCGTAAGAATCGTATCACCTAACCAAAATCTGATAATCTCCACTCAAACCTATATTTTAGCCCTGCCCGGCTATGCCATCCTATCGATTGTCCTGGGAACCATGGTGGTCGTAATGGCCGTGTGCTTCTTCTTTGGCTATCGTCACTACATTGCTGAGGCAGAGATCAACTCGATGAGCTGGAAGGTGTCACTAGAGGACGTAATGTTCCGAGATGCAGCCGAGCGTGGGCTGCGCGGATCCTTCCACTCGCTGGTTAAGCAAAGTTCTCAGCTAACTCTAATGTCCGAGGACATGGTGTCCATCAACGGAGACCGGCAAATCTTCATCCCTGTTGGCATGTTCCGTAAAAGCAAGGTTGCCATCAAACCGGTGGAGGTGGAAAATGTCCAGGCGCTTCTTACGCGCAATTTAATGCTAGAACTAAAGCGGATGAAGGACCTGCAACACGACCATTTGGTCAAGTTCTATGGTGCCTGTTTGGACCAGAGACGCAGCTTCCTGCTTACCGAGTACTGCCCCAAGGGATCGCTGCAGGATATACTCGAGAACGAGCAGTTCCAGTTGGACTGGATGTTCCGACTGTCCCTAATGCACGACATCGTTCGTGGCATGCAGTTTCTACACAGCTCCGACATTCGCTCCCACGGCAACCTAAAGTCCTCCAACTGTGTGGTGGACTCCCGGTTCGTGCTCAAGATCACCGACTTTGGACTGCACAGCCTGCGGCGGACAAGATTCGACCTGGAAAGCGACGGTGGCAATTGCAATAGCCACGCCTACTGGAGCAGTAAGTAGTCAAAGTTGGCAGCTAAGTTCAGTGCACTTGCAGAAAATGTTGGTTAACAAATCTTAATTTATTAAAATCTCAGAAAACAATCACCTGTGAAACAAAATCCATAAAAAATATCTCAACTATAAAACTTTTTTTTCTCTGTGCAGAACTCTTGTGGACTGCCCCCGAACTGCTGCGGGTGGAGCACAATCGAGCGCCCGAGGGAACCCAGAAGGGTGACGTCTACGCCTTTGGAATCATTGTTCACGAGATAACCACTCGACAAGGTCCCTTCTACCTGGGCAGATGTGCGTACGAGAAGTCGCCACAAGGTATGCTATGCAAGTGTTTCTCATCCTTAAACCACGTCTTTCCCTTCTCCATCTGCATCCTTCGAATGTCCTTACGCTTGGCCGTTTTCATGTTGCGGCTGATTTTCTCTGTGCGGAATTTTAATGCCAGATTTTTGCACATGTTGCGGTTATTCGGTCCGTCAGTTGGCCACTCGGGTAGTGCTGCCTGTGATTGTAGGCAAAGGAGAAGGCCTAAATTAGCACTGGATGTGTCTGTAGTGTCTGCATTCGAATGAGTGGAAGCCATCACTTAACTTATATCTCTCATTTAAAGCGTGGAAACAACAAAAACAAGTAGTTCTCGTTTCGGCAACTGATTTAATTTAACTTCCGGTATTTAAAGTCATTTCAATACAACGAAAAACCAAAACTTTAATCCCTATCCTGTTTATTGTGTAAAGTTCATCAACTCGATGGCTTTTTGAACTGAAGGCCAACTTCAAGACTCTCGCCGATTTCAATTGGCGCCTAAAACTTGCTCTTCGAGCTGGCACTTGACGAATTCATCAAATTAGGCCGTGCCTGGGCTAAGCGAATCAGACTCGCCCTTTCAGCGAAGCCACTTGTCAGCCGCAGGATGCAACTTTGGCAACTGGCAACTGGCACTTGTCGAGAGTTGTGTCTGCAGACGAATTTAATTGCGGTGCAGGCGGTGCTGGCATTGGAAATCGAAATCAAAGTGCAGGCTGGTCGAAAAAGTTGATGCGCCCGCTCTGGGGCGCAAAAGGCAAATCACGAACTCTTCTTGCGGTGTGGCACGTCCTGGCAGCTGGAATCGTGGGCGAGGTCCCAGCCGCAGCTGAAGGGCAGCAGGGACCACCAGCCGGGTATCTTTTTCTTGTTCCTGCTTCTACTTTTATCATTCCCTTCGCTGGCTGGCTTGCCTTTTTTGCTTGGTGTCCTGCAATTCTTAACCTTTTTGCTGGGTATCTTGCAATCCTTGTCCTTTTTGCCAGGTTTACTTTCTACCTTGATGCTAGGAACGCCAGTTGTCTCTTGCCAGGCTTCATAGCATTGCCTCTGTTGAATTTCCAACTTCCGCAGCCATTCGATACGTGATCTTTCCCAGCCTGTCTGGGCAATAGTTGAAGGTGGCATCTTTTCCCGGCACCCGAACACTACTTCGGCATCGGTGGGCTCTGAAATGCAGTCCATCCCACCGCACTGTCGTCTCTTCGATCTGGAGGTCTTCTTTTTTGGTCCGTTGGAAATGTTCCAAAGTAAATCCGCGAGTTGGTTCTTGGTCAGCTGTTCCTTTCGACGGCTGATGAGCTGCATCAGTAGCTCATGCTGGTTACATGGCTTCAACTCTTGTGGTTTCGGATTCTTGGCATGCACAAGCAAACTGAGCAGTTCCAGGCAGTCTTGCTTGGTGGACATTTCGGTTGTAGTGTTTAAGTGTCCGCGTCCAGAGTTCGCCTACCCAATAGCTCCTTATCTGGTGTTGACATTAATGTTCTATGACAAAACTACACTACACACGATGAATTTACATTACAAAATGAAATCTGAATAGGAGACTTATTCAAGGGTATCTCTTTTCTCTTTTGATCAGAAATTATTGAACTGGTTAAGGGATATCATCCGATGAGAATGCAGAAACCATTCCGACCGGAACTCGAACCGAATGGCGATACAAAGGCGGACATAAATGGTATCATCCGTCGCTGCTGGGCGGAAGACCCTGCCGAGCGTCCGGACTTCAACACTCTGAAGTCCATGATTCGCAGGTTTAATAAGTAAGTGGGACTAACAAAATCCATCAAATTCTTTACTTATTTTCCTTTCCCACAGAGACAACGAGACGGGCAACATTGTGGACAACCTGCTAAAACGCATGGAGCTGTACGCCAACAATCTGGAGGAACTGGTGGAGGAGCGCACTCAGGACTACCACGAGGAAAAGAAGAAATGCGAGAAGCTACTGTACCAACTCCTGCCCCAGAGTGTGGCTGCACAGCTCATTAGCGGACAGCCGGTGGTGGCAGAGACCTTTGACCAGGTGACGATCTACTTTAGTGACATTGTGGGCTTCACAGCCATCTCTGCGGAAAGCACGCCCATGCAGGTGGTGCAGTTCCTGAACGACCTGTACACCTGTTTCGATTCCATTGTGGAGAACTTCGATGTTTATAAAGTGGAAACGATTGGAGATGCCTACATGGTTGTTTCTGGACTACCCATTCGAAATGGCAACCAGCATGCCCGGGAGATAGCGCGTTTGGCACTGGCTCTCCTGGAAGCAGTGCACAACTTCCGGATACACCACCGCCCAGAGGATCGACTGAAGTTAAGGATAGGACTGCATACAGGAGCCTGTGTCGCTGGAGTGGTGGGTCTAAAGATGCCACGCTACTGCCTCTTTGGCGATACTGTAAACACTGCCTCTCGCATGGAGTCCAATGGAGAGGCACTGAAGATCCACATAAGTGAAACCACCAAGGCGGCACTGGACGAGTTCGGCACCTTTGTGACAACCCGTCGAGGCTTTGTACCCATGAAGGGCAAGGGTGAGATGCTAACCTATTGGTTAGAGGGCGAAGTGCCCCGTCCTGACTCCCTGATTTCGCCCAGCAAATTAATGCTCACCCGACGCTCCTCACTGAAACAGCCACAGCGCAGCCAGTCACATCACCTGCACAAGCAGTACTCCGAACTAGTGGTGGCTTCGCCACCACCTCAGTTACCACCACCAGCGATCGCCCTGCCGCCGCCACCGCCGCCGTCCAAGGATTCGCCCAATCTCCGCGTCAAACGCAAGATAAGCTCCAGTTCGCCCAAGCTGAATGGCGGGGGCTTTGACTATCACAAGACTGAGAACCTCTATCTGGATGCAGCTGCTGCTCAGAGAACCTGTGACATCTACAGCAGCCGGAGCTTACGCGATATGGAGGAGACCTCCGACAGCTGGGAACTGGCCCACTTCCGGCTGCCGCTGAGCGGAGCACTCAAGAGCCATCATCACCTCAATAACAACAATAGCCACGGCTATGTGCACTCGAATTCCAGCTCCAATCTGAGCGGCATTCTGCAGCCACCGCCACTGGGTGGCCAACGGAGCCGACTGAAACCGTCGCCCACGATCTCAACGCTGCTGACGGGCGCCAGGAATGAGGGCAATACCTCTCCAGGCCCCGAAACGGCCAGCATGGGCAGTGGCCAGCTGAGGATTAAGTTCGCCGAAGGCGACGAAGCTCCACTGCTGCCCACACCGGCACCACCACCTGCACCTGCACCTGCTCCGATTCCACCGCTGGTGACTGCTAGTCCGCAGCGGAGCAGCAGTGGCCAGAACATTCCGGCGGACAGCAACCACTACGGCTTCCTAGTGAAAAGCTACAAGCAGCAGTGTCCACCGGTGGCGGGAAGTGCCGTCACCCAGCCACTGCTGGCTAAGATCAACTCATAGCTGTATGCGGGGGAGACGACTCCCTCTCCACTGTAATCATATGCATATTAAATGTACTTGTTTGTGATAATAAGTTAAACCCAAGTTGAACAAGTTAGTGGTTAGTCGTTAGTCGACCGAATCAAATTCGAAATTCGTACGGGAACTCTTCTAAAATGTTTCGTAGTTTTTAATCGCCCTTTCCCCCTTACTCATAAGTAGCGAATTTTACATGTTAACAAACCTCAAAAACAAAAAACACTCGATGTAAATAGCAATTTACAACCAATCAATTTGTTCCTTGTGCTTTGAATATTCACTCTCTACAAACTCAGACAATTAGCTTAAAGTAGATATTACCTAAAGATAAGCGTAGACACTTTGTGAAAATTTCTTATATGTAAAGTATTAGACGAACATGAATATTTATTTTGAAAATTGACGAATAAAGAAATCTATATAAAATATATATATATATTCAAATGTAATTCAGAAATATGGCTTGTATATTTAAAGGGGTTCATTATGGTTAAAGATTTTATAATTTTAAACTTATTCTGTATTCTGGAAAAAAAAATAAAATTCTTCGAAAATTAAAATAGATAAGAACGTGATTTCAAATTCATAGTGTGCGCCAAACCCAAAATCAGGGATGGAAGGCAATATGACCGTGTTTCAAAATTAATATGTTCAAGTATAATAAAAGTATAACTTTAGCCAATTAATTAAGTATGTTTCAAAGATCAAAATATTTACACAAAATTGTTATTTTCTATTTGAATAACAAATGATAACAATAATACCTATGATAAACAAATAAGTTTAAACTTACCCGCTTTCCACTCTCCAGAAGTATTTTGAGTCCAACAAAAGACAGCCACACTGAGCCCTTTGGCTAAGATTATTTATGTTGATCATTGAGTGGGCCGGAGTTGTACAACAGTTTTTCCGTTAATTGAGTTATCATCCGGCACGTTGCTGATACAGTGTTTCCTCTATAACGTGACTTTTATAGCGGGTAAGAGGGAAATGAAATCCACATGGACTCATTGAGCATACTCAACATTGCATAATTTAGCATAGCCAATGGGCTGGATGAATTGCAATTTCCATGGCTCCAAAGACGGATTTCTTGGTGCCGTGCTGTAAAAGATCTAACTTTAATATAATTAACACATCGCAGTTTGCACACCGCTTACCTAGTGGCAAAAATCCCCTTTGGGGGCGTCTGATAATTCGGGTGAATAATTGCAAAATTGGTGCCGCTCGCCCCATATAACAAAGCAATTGTGTTCACCGAGCTGTTTCAGTCACAGCTCCACTTTATCTTTCACGTTTCTATCAGAGCTTATCGTTCCGTAATTGTTTTTCCCGCCGCCAACTAGGAAACCGGAGAATACACCATGTTGTACTGCCCGCCCAACGTGACCCTCAGCGAGGTATGGACGCAGCATGGCATCTCGCATTGCTTCATGGACACAGTGGGTCCATCCGTATACGGTGGATTTCTACTGATTTTTGGTTGCATCCAGCTGGTGATGTACAGAAAGTATGCCACTCGGATTACGGATCCCACGCAAATTTCCAAATCGAGGTTGTTTGCCCTGCAACTGTTCCTTTTGCTACTGCTCCCAGTTTTAGCAGCACTACGATTCCTGATGAACGCACGTATTTATCCCGATAGTGCGGTGTACGGGTATATGGTAAGTATAATAATTTCCCTTGTAAAAATAATACTGACTCACTTTTTTCTCCAGATACTGTCTACATGCATCGTGTGCTTCTCCTACCCCTTCAGCATCTGTTTGATACTCAAGGAGCGGTATTACCAGCTACCCTCGATGCCCACCCGTGGACATGGCCTCATTCTGTTACTCTTCTGGACACTAGCCTTCATCAACGAATCGCTAGCCTTCATAAATCTGCGCCACGAGGACTGGTGGTTCCACCTGAAAACGTAAGTAATGAGATCTATAAGAAAAAGAGTTTATATTAACTATTTTACTTCATCCAGAAACAAGGATCAAATTGAAATGGGCCTGTTTGTCACCCGGTTCTTGTGCTCCCTGCTCATCTTTGTTTTGGGTCTAAAGGCACCTGGCATCATGGCTCCATACAATCCCCATCAACGGCTAGACGATTCCTCCGGTGAATCGCAGGGAAATGTGCAGACAGGATCAGCTTTTAGAAATGGCTGGCGTAAACTGCGCACCGTCTTTCCGTATCTATGGCCCAGAAAGAATATTGTTCTGCAGATAGCCGTCATCGTTTGCATTATACTTTTGCTGGCCGGTCGAGTCATAAAGCTGTTTTTGCCGATTTATCGCAAGAAGTTGGGTAGGTCATGGTTCTCAGGGGCATTAAGTTGAGTAATTCAATGCTAATCTTCTGTCTTCACAGTGGACAGTCTTACCATTGCGCCAATCCTCTTCCGATGGGACTTTGTGCTGATCTATGTAGCCTTGTCATTCCTCCAGGGAGGCGGCACTGGCAGCATGGGATTGTTTAATAACCTCCGCACCTTCCTCTGGATACGTGTTCAACAGTACACGACTCGCGAGATTGAGATCGAACTATTCCGGCATCTACACCAGCTTTCGCTGAGATGGCACTTGCAGAGGAAAACAGGCGAGGTGCTGCGTGTCATGGATCGCGGAACGGATTCCATTAACAACCTTCTCAACTACATTGTCTTCTCTATTGCACCCACAATTCTGGATCTTCTCGTTGCAGTGGCTTACTTTATATACGCCTTCAATTGGTGGTTCGGCTTGATCGTATTCCTCACCATGTTTCTGTATATAGGTAAGGAAAATAATCAGATTGTTCATTACTCACTTCTATAAGAGCCACAACATTTAAGTTTATATACGTAAAAAATACTCAAATCGAAACCTACACTTCTATTTTACAGCCTCTACCATTGCAATCACCGAGTGGCGAACCAAATACCAGAGGAGGATGAATCTGGCGGACAACGAGCAGCGTGCTCGTAGCGTAGATTCCCTACTGAATTTCGAGACTGTCAAGTACTACGGAGCGGAGCACTATGAGGTGGACTGCTACAGGGAGGCCATTCTCAAGTACCAAAAGGAAGAGTTTCTTTCCATGCTGACCCTCAACATGCTGAACACGGCCCAGAATATTATTCTGTGCCTGGGATTACTGGCCGGATCATTGCTCTGTGTATACTTGGTGGTTCACCATCAAACTCTCACTGTGGGCGACTTCGTACTCTTCTCCACGTACCTCATGGAGCTGTACATGCCATTAAATTGGTTTGGCACCTACTACAGGGCCATCCAAAAGAACTTTGTGGATATGGAAAACATGTTTGATCTGCTCCGAGAGGAGGAAGAGATTGTGGATGCGCCAGGCTCTTCGCCGCTCCTTACTGCTGGCGGTGGTATCGAGTTTTCTAATGTCACCTTTGGCTATTCACCGGAGAAGTTGGTGCTACGTAACGTGAGCTTCTCTGTGCCCGCAGGAAAGACGGTAGCTATTGTGGGACCCTCTGGAGCTGGCAAGAGCACTATCATGCGGCTGCTTTTCCGCTTCTACGATGTGCAGACTGGAGCTATCCTGATTGACGGACAGAATATTAAGCTTGTGCAGCAACAGAGTCTGCGAAAGGCAATTGGCGTGGTGCCGCAGGATACGGTCCTATTCAACAACACAATTTTCTACAACATTGAATATGCCAAGTTGGGTGCCTCAGACGAAGCTGTTTATGAGGCTGCTCGCGCCGCAGATATCCACGAAAGAATCCTTAGTTTCCCGGACAGCTATGAGACGAAGGTGGGCGAGCGGGGACTGCGACTCAGTGGAGGCGAGAAACAGCGAGTGGCCATCGCCAGAACGCTTCTTAAGGCACCCATCATTGTCCTTCTGGACGAAGCCACTTCCGCTTTGGACACTCACACAGAGCGAAATATTCAAGCTGCTTTAGCTCGGGTCTGCGCTAATCGTACCACCATTATTGTGGCCCACCGTCTGTCCACCGTCATCCATGCGGACGAGATCCTTGTGCTGCAGCAGGGAAGTATTGCGGAGCGGGGCAGGCACGAAGAGCTCATACTGCGAGAAGACGGAATCTATGCGGACATGTGGCAGCAACAGCTAAAGAATCTAGATACCGATCAGAGTGGTGGAGGCTCCGATAACGGAGATTCTGGTTCAGAGAAACGTAACACAGGAGGTGCTGGACCAAGTGGTGCTGGAACGAGTGGTGCCCACTTCAGGCCAGGACATGCTCATGGGGGAGCACGCTAGCCTTAAGAGACGCGAACAATTTTTTGTTATTCCTGATTCCATGTGATTTGTGGTATATTGTTATACGTATAAGCAGTTCGTCAAAGTCTAAGTTCGTTTATAAGTAACCTTATACGCTACTCTTATACTAATAAATAACGTAGATTTTTATAGACAATCCCGTGGCAGCTTAAGTGTGTTGCAAGTAATAATTTTGATTGTGTCTGGTACCAAATAAATATCGCAGCATAGTGTATTTCTATTCTAGTATTTGTACTACTTTTATTTTATTTATACTTGGGAAAGGCTTTGTTAATCCTATATTATAGATTCAAAAGTTATAGTAATATATATTTGAGGTAACTTAGGCTTATTACCCAAATCATAAATATTAAGATATTTTCATAATGAGAGTATTTTCAATATTTCTGAAACCAGAGGGCTGATTTGTGCGAGTGTAAGGTTCTGATTTCTGATATCAGCAAAAATCTATTTATAGGACATACCTTAAGAGTAGTTTCAACCGATTTTAAGAGAGAACCAAGCTGCTCTTTGCAACAAATGGTGCTTATCATAAGGGAACCTCCAGCAAGGCCAACCATCCGGCTGTCAAGCCCGATCGCAGCCTCAGTCCGAGTTTTGTTCGCGAACCGAGAAGACGCAAACTGTGATCCGGGGCTTAGACCGAGTTGGCGATAAAGGAAGAATAGCGGCGTCTTCTTTGAAAAATATCTGATAATACACAGTCGCGCTAATATATAGTATATATATATATATTATATATATATATATATATATACTTATTGCCTGATATTACAAAACACACAAACCGTTGCGCGAAGTGGAAAAACGTCGGAAAATCTGTGAGAAAACGAGTGCCACGACCTCGGAAGGAAGCAGCAGGCCATGAGGCGACTTAAGTGTTCCGTGTTAGTGTGTACGTGAGAAAGTAGCCTAGTTGATAATGTGAACTATATCAGAAACTAATATAAGAACATGACGTAATGGTTCATTGACGAGCGCGCATCAAAAAATGAACCGCAGAGCAACATTGATTAAAGTGTTTTGCGATCATTCATATATGTCTATATATTATATATACACATGTACTTTTAGTATATATAAGAAAAAAAATTAATTGATAATTGAAGAGTTTATTGCCCATCGCCGGGAATGCGACATAGCGCAAGATGGGTGATGGTGCTCGTGGGGCAGTGAAGCATGCATTGAATTGAAGTTCAATTTCCACATTTATCTATCTATCTGGCAGATCTTTTCCTGATCTTCGACGCCGGCCATGCCTTCAGCATCATTGGCCTTAACAAACAGATGCTCTACGAGTACGTGGGCAATGTCCTAGTGGGTGCAAAGCCCCAGGACGAAGGAAATCAGGCGCCACCTACCACCGGATGGATAGTGCGAGGCAAGCTCACACTTCAGCGTCAAAGTAACCTGGTCTTGGCTGCAGCGGTGAGTTGTCTGGAAACAGTTCCATCTTAAAAAATACATTTGAAACATTTCCTAAATGTTTTGCTTGATCTCTCCGACCTGGTCGATGATTAATTTCATTCCGTTTGGTATATTTTTGTTTATAGAAAAAAAACTGGTATGCCTTACAATCACATTATATACACGAGTTTTCATATATAGCTAGACTCATACATAAATCAATTGAGAATCAGTGAAAAAATCAAATCAATTTATTGATTTCATTATCAATATATACGATCCAATCGTCGCTTTCTATAGCCCCATACCCCATTTGCAGCGATTTCTTCTCAGCCGCCGCAGACGAAGAAGAATTCGCAGATGAATTAAAGACAATTTAACCTTTCACAGAGCGAGTCAAGAAGAGCAAAGCAAAGTGCCCACAATAAACTGAACTCGGCTGTGAACTTCTTTCATTGAGCCCCCACAGATAATGCCAATACACACATGCTTACACATTCCCTTCCTCCCTTCGTTAATCAGCTCTGACTGAGATCAACTCTAGGAGTAGCCCTCGCTTATCAGGCATCTAAGCATGTGTCCGCCATATGAAAGGCGATCTGACTAATTTCTGTTTGCCGGATATACCGTGTCATGACTTATCAGCCGGTTTGGTTGGGCTCGACCCTAGTCAAAGATCGGAGATTTCAGCATTATTGCAGGGCTTTCCCGGCTAATCGCCAGCTGTGCTCTCTCCTCTCTCTCTCTATTTTTAGCTGGTCATCGACGATGTAACGTTGAACAATTCCGGCGAGAAGTTCTTGCAAAATAAGGAGATGTACCCGCCCTACAAACCCTTCAAGATCGCCCTCACCCCGGATGGCGACATCTCGCATGTGGTCTTCAAGGAGGGTGATCCGATTTGGAGCATGAACTTCAAGCGGGCCATCGCTTCGGTACTGCAGTTCCAGATGAAGTCCAACGGCGCCTTTGTCGTAGATGAGGTGAGTTTATAGGTCTCTGGATTTAATAAGAAAAATTAACCTTTTCCATAAAAAATCACTTTAATAACTTTCATTTCCTGTAAAAGCTGGGAATTCACGGCACCTGTCGGACGGAGTACTTTGTGTCCAACAGGACCAACTACATCTCCATCCGCAAAACGCCGGAGGTGAAAACCTGCAGGCCATACTCGGAGGCGGTGCACACCACCAGGAGCAATGTGCCGCCGAACACATGTGAATTTGATCACCAGAAAAGTGTCATAATTGGCAACGAGGCCATTTACGGAATGAAACCACACAACGAGACGGGATATTTTTTGAGCAAGGCCCATGCCAAGGGCACCACCCTGATCCATACATTCGAGTCCACGGGAGAGGCACAGTTCATCAACTCAGAGCTGCTGCTCAACTTTCTGAACGAGACACCAATCGATAATCCCATTGATATTGAAACATCAATGGCAGCAGAGCCCTCTAATCTGGAACTACAGCTTCTGGATCCAAGCGATCCAACTGGCGGACGAAGTCCTCAGCAGCAGGAGACGCTGATTGCCCAGGCTGGCACACTTCTGGACAGTTTGGCCGAGGGCCTCGAGACTACGGAATTCAAATTTTCCGAACCCTATGACTCTACTCTTTCCGATGTGATAAAGCTTCTAAGCGAGTTGAACTTTGACTCATTGGCAAAGCTCTACCGGGAAGTGGACATCGGCACTTCGTATCGCCAGGAGACTATCCGCAACATCTTTCACGAAATCATTCCCCGCATCGGAACCAAAGCCTCAGTTTTCCTCACCCACCACTTGGTGCAGCAAAAGTTGACAAAGCCGCAAATCGCTGTGCAACTGCTAATACCCATGCCCTTCCACATTTTCGAGCTCTCAGCGGAATTGTTGGACAGATGCGAGGACTTCCTCAATATCGGACCGGATCGCCCGGATGTCAGGCAGGCCGCTATCCTTAGCTTTGCCACACTCGTCCATAACGTCTATGTGGCCAAAGGCATCGACAAAGAGAGATTCGAGTCGTATGTGCAGAAGTACTTTAATGCCTATCTAAGTAAGTTACTTTCATTATTAATCTGTAATTAATAAACTCGAGAAATTTCATATAAAACTTCAAATTTTAAACTATTTTCCATCTAATTTGCCTTTTGCAACACAGCCGACCGCGACTTCGACCAGAAAATGTTGCATTTACAGGGTTTAAACAACTTGCAACTGGGAAACGTGGCTAACTATTTAGAGCCCATCGTTCAGGATCCCAATGAGCATGAGGACCTCAAGTTCCAGGCAGCCTGGACGACTTTAGCACTGGCAGATCGCCGCGCGGAACGCATATATGAGATCTATTGGCCGATCTTCGAATCACGAAACGCCAGCCTTGAACTTCGCGTGGCCGCCGTTACGCTACTATTGATTTCTAATCCCACGGCTGCCCGTTTAATCAGTATCCATCGCATCATTCAGAGCGAGACAGATCCTCACATGATCAACTACTACAGAACGACAGTGACGAGCATCTCGGAAACGACATATCCCTGCTATCAGCACCTGTAAGTCATTGCCGTCACTTACCTCGACAATCCAAGTATAATATTCCATCTTCCAGGCGCCGACTGTTATCCTACATGCATCGCCATCTGCCTCCAAAGCCCGAGTCACGCTACTGGGTCACCGGCAACTACATCTTCGACTACCGCGACTCCAAGTTCGGAATCGGAGCAATGCTTCAGGTGTTCCTTGTAGGCGATCCCAAGTCAGACATGCCCGTAGTGGCCTTCTTTAAATTCGACACCGAGGCTTTAGGCAAGTTCACAGGACAGCTGGCGGTAAGTACATCGACTGGATTTGCTAGAAAATAGATATTTACATTAAATTCATGAATAAAATTTGAAATAATTTTTGTTTTTTTAATATATACCCTTTTCCAGCTTTATGTAAAAGTACGTGGGTTGCCCGATACCATCCTAAACAAGATGACGTCGCGCAATGGCACCGAACCGTTCACTTTTAAGAGCATCAAAACGCTTCTCGCCATGCTGCAGGCTCCAATCGTCAACACAAAGGATTTGCACCTAGAATTCATTCTCCAAATGGAGGGTAAGACAGTGCTATCCTACTACCTCAATCAGCGGATGTTCCAGCAACTGACATATGACAACAGTGAGTAGGGTACCTTCTTATTATCAATAAATTATAATTCGTATACTCAAACTTTTCCGTAGTTCTGGAGCGAATGCAGCAGATCATCCGGACAGACAGCCACATCAACTTTCAGACAGTTCGTTGGCCGTTCATGAATCGCTACACGGTGCCCACCGTGCTGGGTACCTCTTCCGATGTCCTGCTGCAGACCACCGTTCTCACATCGCTTCGTGGTAATATCACAGAGCAGCGGAATCAGCCCATAACCAAGCACACCCTGGAGATCGATGCACGCTATTCATCGTACGCCTCGGTGCGCAGCCGCAGCTATAATCCTTTCCTGAACTTGGACCACGAAATCAACCGAGAGCAAGGCTTCCTGATCTACATCCCCTTCAGTAGCGAGCTGCAGCTCAACGAGAGTGACAGCAAGTGCAAGCGCTATTCCTTTTCGCGGCCCCAGAACCTGACCAGCGGACTGTCCTTCAAGTCGCGTGCGGTGACTAAGACTAGGGGTTTGATTACCAAGTCAGCAACGGCACCTTTTGAAGAGATCATGGTGCCGGAAAGTCGAAAAGATGTGTTTCAGCTCTTGAATTATCCAATACCTGATTTGGGAGTGCATCTCACCATGAGCACGAATCTTAACGAGCTTATCAAGTACCGGGGGATGCTGTTGAAGTCCGAGTTTACAGAGAAGTGGGTTCCGTGCCTCAAATTACATTTGCCTCTTAACTAATGATATCTTTAATTGCAGTGGATTCTCCGGCAATATGGTGGTAACAGCATTAATGTATATATTTGGCTTCACCCAGCTGAGCTCCATTCATCTGGGCCACGATCGCAACTTTACGATGCTGATGTACAACGAAAAGACCACCAGAGTAAGACAAATAATCTACCTAATAATATTTAAACTAATTTCCGAATTCCACTTAGATTGAGGGGAACTTCTGTACTGAAGATGTGCTACAAACATCGGACCTTAAGGGCAAGCAGATTGGTCTAACGCTGGAGCACACAGACCAAGTGGACGAATCGCATGCTACGAATGGATCACAGGTTGATGCTCTCCACAGGTGGAACATAACCCTGGATGTACAGGCTTCAACTAAATCCAACTGGTTTAAGTTGACTGGCCAGATTCAGCGAAATTCAAAGGATGACGAGGACGACTGGAAGGTGAGTGATTGTCAGGGACTACGGGACAAATTTATTTAACCAAAGATACGTTGCTCCTGTTTCTCTTATCGTCTGTGTATGTGTTTCTGAGTATTGTTGTATGGTGAAATGAATTGCTATTTGGACTGTCAAAATTCGGTATTTCGGTGTTTCGTTTCTAACCCTCCTGTCCGGCTATTTCGAGTTCTTCCTCGGCATTGATTAAAGCCACAACGCCATCCTGCAGTGTTTTGACCAGCTCGAACTCTGTGAATCCAAGCTTCCGCTTATTGGAAATGTCCATGACACCATCTTCCACAGTGGAAAGTTCGCCACCATCGGTGCTGCGTACCTGCAGCTGAAGCTCTTCGGCGAGAGCGAGAAGACGGTCAGGGTCCTTGCTGAGCAGCGGCAAACGGACGTGGACCGAGGCTCGCAGACTGGTGCCCAAATTCGTGGGGCAGGCCGTTAAGTTTCCGTAACGCGGATGGCGAGCAAAGGTCAGGGTCTTCTCCAGCTCTGATAGACCGTTCACAAGGCGATTGTAAACATCCCCCAAATCGCCACACTGCGCCATAGACATAATGTGAACGTGGTCCTGACGATTCACCCAGATTAAGAAAGTCTCAGCGGGATTATGGTAGACACCGCGACCTGTCGGCCAAAAACGATAGCAGCCAGCTGTGGTCAGCTGCTCATCTCCTCGTTGAAATAGTATATGTCGCTTCACCATCTCTGCTTGGGTTTCGGCATCGATGTCCGCCATCGTAAGGTAAGAGCCTATCAACTCGCCATCCATTGTCTCCGTTGCCGAACGCACCTTCTCCTCCACTTCGATAAACTGTTTCTCGGTGAGTTTAGGGAAGAATGGTAAACCCTCGATATTGCGGGCCAATCTAATACGAGCGGACAGAATGTACTTGCGCTCCGGATCCAAGTTTTCGATCTCGTCAACGTTGCCAAAGTCTGGATCCTTTTGTAGCACATCACTCTCGTTATCCATTTGGCCATGATAGTCCTTAATGATTGGATCAAAGAGCTTGTTAAAGACATCGTAGCTGTCTGCATCCGCAGCATAGATGCCGACCGGCTTATCGTGATGCTGAAATCCAGCAACTGCGCAATCGTATAGATATGCGTCCACTGGTGCCGGAGTAGTGACCAGCATGTACTCTTCCAACAACTCAGGCGTGAGGTATTTGCGAAGCAGTGAGTTGACATTCTCCTCATCATCAATGAGGGATTTGTAGCCTTCAACAGTAAGCTCTTGATACTCCTCCGGTGACTTTTTGCTGTTCGATTAAAAAGTAAACTTTTTTAATGATTTTCACTTAAATTTCTAAATTTCCCAAAAACTTACATTTGACCGCGTAGTCGTTCAAGTTCCTGCTCCAATTTGGAGATGTGCGTCTTGGCCTCCTCAAGATCGTTTTTCATTACATCGTACTGGGCATCATCCGGGCAACTCTCGCACATGAACTTGCGCACAAAGCGAATGGCGTCCTCTGGTTTGTTCTGCTCTTCGTACAGTTTGATCAGTGCCTTGCTTAGGGCATCGATGACCCCGGCACGCTCCAAATACTTTCGATATTGCACTCGTTTCGATTCGATCTGGGGCAAAACCAGAATATCCCTTTTGAACCAATCGAATTTGGAATTCATTCACCACTTACCGAAGTCATTTTGCAATTTGTCCGAGCGAGATTCAAGCAAACATAAATTTATAAACGTAACGCAAAGTAAATGCTCTCGATGGCAGGACCGAAAATGATTAATCGATTTATCTGATTTTTAGCGCGTTCTTACAAAATAAAAGAAAAATTGAATTTTTGTTCCCAAAAATTGACGACAGGAGAAATTCGTCCGAACAGTAGCGTAACTGGCTGCCTTCTACTGAGCTCCCTCAGAGTCGTATTGATCAAACGAGGCGACTTATGCCGCCAGGCCTGCCTGCCACTAGTCCGCTTGCCAGGCTCGGTTCTCCGTCTCGATTCCGAGACGCAAACAACCAACGAATGTGGGCCAACAATTGCGGCAACTGCTCGAGTGGTTGGTTGGTTGGATGGTTAGGAGTGGGTGGATGGCTTTCGTTTCATTTCGGTCTGTGTAATAAAGTGGTACGCAGGCACAGACGGAAGGGAAAAAAGTGGGTGGTACAGTCAGTCAGGATGTGTGTTAGCCCGCTAATCGTTGCCGCAGTTGTTGTGGCTCTGTTGTCTACTGTTTCGTCATGGTAATTTGTCCCATTCCACACGGCTGGAGCCTCCACTGAACAGCTGAACACACAATGTCTTGGCTCTACGCTGGTGGACAACGGTGTAACTAGATAAAGCTTACAGGGTGTCACGCCTGCCGCTCAATGAGAGCACTTGACTCGTACCAAGACTCAAGTCGTCTGTTGACTTGTCAGGTTCATCGTTATATACAAAACCAGTCAGGTCTTGGTAGAAAATAAATGAAATTAGTACTTTGACTTTCATGTATGGTTTAAATTAAATTTTAAATTTAAATTTAAACTAAACATTTTTTCTATATCCATAAACTAGTTTTTAAAGTTCCGATTTTAAAAGTTATTCTAAATAGTTCCTAGCGCACAAAATCATAATATTAAACTTAATTCAACAAAAAATTGTAAAATATATAATTGTACTTACCACTATTACCGATACTGTACGTTGCAACTCATTAGCATTATTTCCTTAGGCCTGCACTAAGTTGACCTATGAACCACTGGTGTTCACCAAACGACCTCACACCCTGAATGGCAATGTGTTGTTCGGACTGGCTTCGGAGGAGAGTGAGTGCCCGGAGAAGGGTTCCACGGTGCAGTTTGCAGCTAGAGCTGGTGTAAGTATAAATGCTGAGACGGGAAACCAAGTGGATTTCGTGGAAATCTAACATTTTCCTCATTGCAGCCATCGGAGCACGCTCGTGCCTTCCTGCGTTCCGACAGGATCTCACTGACGGACACTGACTTCTGCCCCAAGGAAGTACTCAAGTTCTCACCTATCCCCACGTCCAAGTATTGCAAGCGCAGCAACTTTGAGAACTTCACCTCGATCACGCAATATGACATGGACCTGAAATTTAATAATGTAAGAATTTTATATATATAACTTATTTTAATAGCCAATCAACTCACCATTATATTTTTTAGATGCCCGCCTGGTTTGAGCTATGGTCAAATCGTCTTGACCACCTGGTCTCCGCATTATCCGCAGATAAAGTTGATAGTCTGCATATGAGTCAGGAGATCAATATATCCATGCATACGCCGCAAGACCAATTCAGGTTGGCAGTGGAAGTTAATGGGGTTAAGTGGCGTTTCCACCAGATCCCGTTTTTGTACAAGCTGGACTCCAAGTTCGATGCCTCCCACGAACTCACCTACGATTCAGGACTTAAACGTTCCTGCTCGGTAATTAATGGCATAGTGAATACCTTCGATGATTATCTAATCAAACTCAGAGAGATTGCGGTGCGTGCTGATTGCCTTACCCTGCTGGTGGCAGACTGTTCGCCGTTGCCTAAGATGGCCATCTTTGTTACGCCATCCCCAGCCCAGCAACCGAACAGCAACTACGGACTACGCGTCCACATCGGTCCGAGCTACTTTAATTTTAATGCCCGCACGGACAATAGCAGTCATCCTTCGGATGAGCCTGTGATTATTTATCTCAACCAGGACCAAACGCCGCATGATGTGCGTCAAAAACCTTACCAGTGGCCTCCCGAGACTAGTGACTACGACTTTCGGTAAGTAAGCTGAAGGCTGTGTAACATAAAATTGTTTTAACCATTCCATTTTCAGCGTGGAGCTGAACGAGCAAAACATTTTGATCGTGGAATGCAAACAGTTGGCTTCGACCATCCAGTTTGATCTGTATAACATTATGAACTTTGAGATATACGGCGTTTATAAGCACCAGATGTGTGGGCTGTGCAGCAAGCCCCTCAATACCATGCAGAACTATACGATATGCGAGCTGGAGTCGAGCAATCCGACCACACCTGTTCCACTGCAGAAATCCTCCGATATAGTAGTTGCTTAAATTTAATATGTGAGTTTATTCTAAAATAAAAAAAGAGCCCAGCAATGAGAGAACATGCAAATCCCAGGGCTTGGGTTTTTACCTATTTAAGTTCAATAGTTTTTGCTTGGTATTAAGATGGAATATTTACCTTATTTTTTGTCCTATACATCGAGTGGAGTTCATATCCTTATATTTAATAATATAACGATATAGAAGTTAAGAAAAGTTATAATTAACAGGTTACAAAGTGTAATTATAAGAAATGAGATCATTTAAAATTACAGAAAAATGGGTCGATACAGTGTTTTTAATTTGGTCACAGAAGCAAACATTAAAGAAATGCTACATGAAATAGTATTTAATAAAATTTGATTTGTGACCTTTTTGTAAGTTATTCTTTTTGAGTGTTAATACAACAACATTACTCTCGTCAATATTATATTATATTATGATTATGTTTCTTCTGATAGTCAATTTGTTTTTCACGATCGCGATGCTGTTGAGTGAGCAAATGCATACGAAGTTGAGAAACTGATTCCAACAATTGGTTGCACAGCTTACAAGTCATCGGAATTAAAGTGCCTTCACTGGAATTATAAATGAAATTCAAAATTTGATCTTCTAAATAGATTTGGAATCTTACAAAGTACGCCATTCGTACAACTTCTTGCAGTTCTCCACTAATTGCATCAATTGATCAAAATCCTCCTCTACAAGCTCAGGAACAGTGTGCATTGGGAATATGGCCCTCTTGCCGAAAGGCTCTGGCTGCTTTGACAACATATCGCTTTTTTCCCATACGTAATCGGAGTTGCTCGCATTTTGTTCGATATAGCTGCGATCCTTGCTCAATAGCCTTTAAGGAAGATTTTAAAGTTATTTTAGTCTAGTTTATCTATAGTTGCAGTTTACTTACCAAATAGTCAAGCTGATCAGCTGTGTATAAATAGAAACACGTTCATTAGCACTAACCGCTGGAGAGTTCTCGTCTTTAAAGTTGAAAAAGAACCTATCTATCAAATAGCGCATTTGATTGATCTAAAATACAATTGTTGAAGCAAAATTAAATATAAATTCCTTTAATAAAGAGTCCTTACCAAAATCACATCATCTTCGAGAATGTTGACGTCCAAATTAATTACCATATCGTGCTCTTCAAAATAAGACTCATTGGTTTCAGGGTCAAAACCCAGACCCGCCAATATAGACACATACTTGGAGCCATATTTATTGCATTTGAGTTGCATTGTGGGACAGAATAGCATTACCATAAGTGCACCAAATCCGTGTATGTTGGGCATTAGAGTAGTTCCACGAGCATTCAGGATATGACCATCGGGACTCTCCACGGTAGCATGGGCCACAATCATCTGATCATGATGATCTTGTGGATCTGCGTCCAGGAGAACAGCATTTACAGAAGCACTATCTATTTTTACTGATTTCAACAAGCCTACACGAGTGGTGGAATGCATGGCAGACTCTAAAGGACTGTAGGGTCCCTTCAACATAACGATAGTGTTGCATTTATCCAGTGGCGGCGGTGGCAGATCTAGATCTTGGGGTAGTTGACAGGACCGCAGATATTCCTCATTGACTTGCTGACGCTCGGCTGAGGTTGAGTAGCGAGCAGATTCTTGTTTGCGCAGCCGAAAGTCATGATCCTGTCGAGACATAAAATCTTCATCTGCCCGACGAGCCAGCTTCAGCTCTACGAGCTTGTCGTTAAGTAAGCCCTCACTCGTGCGAATGAAAACAGCTGCCACATTATTTAACAGCGAATACACATCTATATCAATGCGGCCTAAATTTGCCATCGAGTTAAGCATATCATTAGCCGCGGCATGCCAACGGTTATTGGTGCTGACTACTATGGAGGGCTGAACAAGAGCCAGCCTGCACTCGAACACACGTGGTGGCAGATCGAAGAACTGCCCGAACAGCTCTTCCGGCATCAAACGCAACAGTTCCATGGGAAGCACGGCAATGTCTCCGTAGTCAATATAACGAACATAAAATCTGGATTTTCGACTGTTCTGGTTTTCGGGTCGGATCACTGTGGCACGCTGAAAATGATTATTCCGCTTGGCCAAAAGCATCATGCCCTTCCCTATGACTTCTGCGTTAAAAACTCGTCTTCGCAGATGTTGAGGAACATTAAAAATTTCTGACATATTGCGTATGCACTCGGCGAAAGATTGAGGCTGGAAATAAAACTTGCCACAGTTAACAATCTGTAAATGGTAAGAACAATTATAAAAAACATATAGAGTTTGCGGTCTAACCAACATACGCAAGTTATCAACCCCGTAATAGTCTTGTCATAGACAGATGGTAAAGCGAGGAGCTCAACGTTTAAGGTCCTGGCGGGTGGGATCCAACAACCATCTATTATATCTCCAATCTTTTGCTGTTTTACGTAGTCAAAAAACTTATTCTGTCTGAAATTAGTAAAATGAAAGCCTTAATTGGTAGTTGGAATCATAAAAGTGTAAAGAGCTCACTCCATTATTCGTATTGGACGTTGCATGCGATCTAGTCTCATTCTGACCGCTTTGTAGACTTCACTTTTGATCCTACCCGAGACATTTATAAAACTGGAAATGTTCGTATTGCAATCATCATCCTTGAATGTGACGAAAACTTTCTGAGAACCGTGTTGAAAGGTAACATCGATGTTTTCCGATGAGATCTTGGCCTCGCTAAATAGATCCTTGATTTGCCTAGTGTACAGTTCGCCCATATAGCCGGGTTTGAAGTTGGTGAAGTATACAGTACGGCAGGGATCGTGTCCAGATATTACTTGGTACATATCGCGACCTGGTTCTTCATTCGATCCTTTTGATCGCATGAAATAATTTGGGTAGAAAGCACCAGCGATAATCACCTTGAGGATGATAACTTTTTGATTATCACTCAACTTCTGGCTAGGATCAATTGAAAATGGCATCAGTCCTAGTTTTTTGCATCGTACCCGTAGCTCTTGCACAAGCAGATGCATTTCCTTAAGCGATCTCAAGGAGACGTGGAAACGCTTCGCCCAGCGTATAGCAGATTCCTGCACTTGGCCATCTTCCACCATGTTCAAATATGTCTGACATAAAAGGTTATTTATAATTGAAGTTTTCAGTATTGGATCCAAACACTTACGAGATAAACGCGCCAAATGGCCAACAAGTCAGAGCCCGATCCATCGGCAAATATGTAGTGCATCCAGAATGAGTCTGATCCTTTCTGCCTACCACATTCGTTCACATATAAGCCACGCATAGATAAGCCGGCAGCTACAGAAACTTATTTAAGTTAAAGGAGCCTCATCCCTTCTTTGACACTCACCTATGATAATTACTTCTTCTAGTAAGTTAAATACATAACCCAATATAATGAAACGGGACAGATATGTGTCCAACGGTAACCGAGACATGATGGTGCCCCAGTAGGTTATGTCGCCATCCAATACGTTGTAGACGCCATCGACAGTTGGGAACAATGCACCTACCTCCTTTAATAGCAGAATTGTATTTTGTATGTCTTCGAGATTTGGAGGCGAAAGAGCCAGAGCCAATAGATCAACTGGTGAGTCCATTTCAAGCTCTTTAGCCCTGAGCACCGACATATGCAAGGGCTGACGCAACATTTCTGGTACTCCAAACTCTGACATAACCCTCTGATAAAATGATTTATTAACCATCCGATAGACACGTCCACTTCGAAGGCGTCCAACGCGTCCAGCTCGCTGGCGGCAATTAGCTCTAGAGGCCCAGGATAAACGTAAAGAACTGAAGTTGGTGGCTGTATCGGTGATCAGTACTTTGGTAAGACAGAAATCAATAACATAGGACACATCTGGCACGGTGATGGAGCTCTCTGCTATGTTAGTCGTCAGAATGATCTTTCTAAAACCGTTAGGCGGAGACCGGAACACATCCCGTTGATTCTCCGGGGTCATCAGGGAAAAGCAGCGCACAACGAAAACCTTAATGTTCTGGCTGGAATGGGACGATAAATCAAGATATCAACACGCGAAAGAATTCCATAAATAGTCCTTGACAGGATTCAAATCTCACATTAAATAAAAAACAAATTTAGCTTACTCATTTTGCAATATAGAAGTAATGTGTTCTTCCATGTTGTCAATCTCGAAGACACCGGGCAGAAAGACGAGAACAGCTCCATGGCGCTTAGCTTCGTCGTAGCTCTGTTGCGACTGATTTGCACACTCTCGTTCCATATTATCAATAACAAGTAGGATTTTTACTGCTGCCCTGTAGCCTTCGTCTGTGATGCGTGGAATATACTGATCTTCATCTTCTTGTTTCCACATAATACTGCCCAAGTGGTCACGGTAAAACTTCTCGATTGAGTATTTACGTCCATAACTGGCGGCGATCACCGGTGGAATAGAGTTCTTGGTGGTAAAATAATCACATAGTTCCTTGGCATCGATCGTGGCCGACATTAGGATAATCTTTACATGGCGCGAGTTTGTGGCTAACAGACGCCTGACAACGATAAGCAGAAAGTCCATGTCCTGATCCCTTTCGTGCACTTCGTCCAGCACAATGTGAGTGTAGTGGGTTAGCGTCTTGTTATGTATCAGATTGTTGAGCAAGACTCCGGTAGTGCAGTAAAGAAGCCGAGTGTCCTCCAGAGTTGCTGGGCGGTGCAGTCCCACCTGGTAGCTGCATACAGTGTCCGGCTGCCATTGGCGTTCCTGACACACCCTATTAGCCATGGATATGGCAGCTATGCGTCGAGGCTGAGTTACCACAATGTTGCAGTATTGGCCGCTCTTAACGGCCTCGTCCAAAATATATTGGGGTACCTAGTAGACGAAAAAATATACATTTTCTTTCATTCTTATATATTTTATAATTTATATTTTCTATATTTTCCTTATATAGTTTTTATTGCTATAGATAGTCTTCAATCTATATTTTTGTTTTTTTTACTAAGCTTTGAAATGTATTAATAAAAGTCATACTATTAAAAATAACCGGTTCCCGCGTCTTTTTAAAAAGCTTTCGATATTAAAGAAAACAATATCGACACTAACTGTTATCGATAGTTTCTTAATAGTGCTGTGAAATCCGCCAACCGGCGAATCTGATTGTTTACATTTTGAGACCTGCTTTGATCTGTTTTGGAATGCGCAGATATATTTTAAGTAAGTTAGACCGACAATGGAATTAAATATATACGACGATTGCTGGGAGCTGGTGCAACGATTCCAGCGATTGGTAAAAGATGGCGAAAACTGCGAGTTCGAGGTGTTTTGCAATTGCTGGCGGGAAATGCAACTGCAGCATCTCTTCACTGCCCAGACAAACCACATCGAGGTTATAGCCACCACACTGGCAGCCCTACATGTGGCCAAGCGGTTGTCTTGCTCCCGTCGCACCACTGGAGACCTTTTCGCAGCATCCCGTTCCCAAAGAATTGGAGGATTCTATCTACTTTATGTGATTTACTATAAACAGCCTACCCGTAACTTCGTTAAGATCGAAGTCTCACCGCGCACATGGCAGGAACTCACCGACTATGCACTGCAGTTGCGCAAGGAAAGTCCAGAAAAGAAGGATACCCAGCAAGTGGCCTACATGTTGTGGCGTCTCGTCCAAGAGCAGGCTTTTCGCTACACAGCGCTAGACTATTGCCAAGGATTGGACAACTTGGTGGACTACGACCGTCTAGAGGTAATTGCAGGTGCCAACAGACAAAGGCAGAGTGCCTTGATGCAAAAGCAACAGCGTTCCAATAACGTTAGTCTAACCTACGAACTGGAAGGTCTGCGAGAACTAGACCAGGCCGGTCAGCCTCTGTGTGATCTGGAGTCCGCTTATAATGCACAAAAGGAAAAACTTGCTGGTCAGGAGCTGGCTCTGCCGCCCACACAAATTTTTAGTCAACTCCGTACAGTCTTTGCCGAAATACAAAGTTTACTTGGAGCTACTGCAGATGAACGACCAACCACTTCCGCAAGCAATCAGTTAGAGGTGCGTCAAAGGGTACGAAATAAGGCTATGTACGGCGTTGAGACAAGGGAGCCTCAGCACCAGCCGGAAGAACTGGAAGTGGAGCTGGAGGTCAATGAGGCGTATCAAAGGAGGATGTCGTCAGCCACAGTATTCAAACAGAAGTTACCAGATGATGTACAAAGAGAGTATGACAATGCCTATGATTGCAGTGACGACGAGGAAGATGAGGCGGAGGAAAACGAAGTCACAAAGGAGGAGGTTCAAGGACATATGTTGGAACTTAGTTAACTCCCATAACTTAAATCAATTTTGATTTATTAAATTGAAATATTGTTTGAATAAAAATAACGAAATTAACAGGGTTTTAATTGCACTACTATGAAGATTTTATCCTTTTTAGCTGTATATAACTGCCGGTTGGAAAATTGACGGTGTGGCAACACTTACCTGCGTAGTTTTTCCGCATCCTGTTTCGCCTTTAAGGATAACGACAGGATGAGCTTTGACGGCCGCCAAAATCTCCTCCCGTTTTGCATAAATCGGAAGATTTTTGTCGCGATTCAGATTAAACGTGTACTTTTTGTAATACTCCTCATCCGGTCGGATATTGAACTCTTCTCCCTCATCGTCCGAATCCAAGTCGTCATTGCTACGATTTCTTTTACTTTCAGGGCATTCGTCGCGCAGAGTCTGCATCATATTACAAGTAAACAAACAAAAGTGCTGATACACACTTTAATTTCTTACCCTATTGAGACGATGCTTTTCCTTGGCCACGATTTTATGAACATATTCAGTACCGATCACATCACGCTTTACCGCTTTCGATTCAGTAGATTCCACTGCTTTCTTGTTAGGATTACTAATAGAACCCTGCGGAGCAACCTCGCGCTTAAATTCTTTAGAGAAATCGAAGAAATCCATCACCTCCTGATCCATATTTTATTTTAATTTCTTTAGGAATATGTATAGCAAACTTTTACAACCCGCGTCGTTTCCGAACTGAAACGGTAAATTGTAGTGGTGGGACTTTTGGCCTCAAAGGTGGTAAAGTCGAAAAATATTTTTAATTATGATTTGGTTGTAATCGATGTTGGTGCAAGAAGCTTTACATTAATGGTATTCATATAGTAGTAATAAAAATGTAATGATTTATTTTTATTATTAAAGGATATCCATATTTATTAATTATTATCAATTATTAGATATAAACATGTTATTATATGCATAAACTGCCAGAAATAATGTTATCAAACTTTATTTTTAAAAGATTGAGAATATCGAATATACGGACTATCGAACCTTGGCCAGCTCTAATTTGGTTCTGACAAATTCAATAGCAAAACAACTTTTTGGCGATTTTAGTTTATTTTTGGCCGCAAACATGTCGCTAACAATGCGAATTTTCACCGCGTCGCGCAATGGTAGGTGGCAAACAATACCCTCACCTCGCGATACGCGAAAAACTTAAACTTTCCCAGGAAATCTTTGTCTCTGTGAGGTTATGTAAGCTTATGTCATAGCAAAACAAAGGACTAAATGAGCTCAATTCAGGATTCTTATTGCTTAGACCGTTTCAATTTAATTTAAAAATGACTTTCCTACAGGTCAGCGCATGTTTGGGAGCCAAGGAGCCCGTCTGCTGGCCCAGCGAACAGAACCTAAAGACATTGTCGAGGTTCCCAAGGGATATGTATATGTAAACAACAAGGAGCTGAGTATGGAGTTTGCCGACATTACAGATCGTGCTGCCTCCACTATGTTCTTTGGTGAACTCTTCCGTGGATTCGCTGTCACCCTGGCGCACATCTTCAAGGAGCCGGCTACCATCAACTATCCATTTGAAAAGGGACCTCTGAGCCCAAGATTCCGCGGCGAACATGCCCTACGACGTTATCCCAGTGGAGAGGAGCGTTGCATCGCATGCAAGCTGTGCGAAGCCATCTGTCCCGCCCAGGCAATTACCATCGAAGCTGAGGAGCGCGCCGATGGCAGCAGACGCACCACGCGCTATGATATCGACATGACCAAGTGTATCTACTGTGGATTCTGTCAGGTGAGGAAGTGATTGGCTGCACTAATTAGTTCCTGTTCACTAATGGCGTTTATTTATCCTCTGCAGGAGGCTTGTCCCGTTGATGCCATTGTTGAAGGACCCAACTTCGAATTCTCCACGGAGACACACGAGGAGCTGCTCTACAACAAGGAGAAGCTGCTCTGCAACGGCGACAAGTGGGAGTCCGAAATTGCTTCCAACTTGCAGGCCGATCATCTCTATCGTTAAAGTTGCTTGTACCCCTTAGAATTCCTTGTTTAGTACGATTTTCCAATTAAAGATCGTTGCTGTGGCTGCGTCTTAATCGAATTGCTTGTTGTAAGGAGATATATGAAGTAACAGGAAGAATACAGATTACTTCCTAATGAAACGTTTTAATTGCTTAATCGGAACTGGTCAGAAAGTGGAATAAATTACTTTTGTAACCTCATAAAAATACCGTTTAAAGAGATTACATTTAATCTGACTAAGAAGTTTATTTAATAAACTGAGTAATATTTAGTATACATACTTTCAAATTTCCAAGTGATTACAGTGAAACTTTTTGATTATTTATCTTTCCATTTTGATTAGAATTAGTAGTGCCAAAAACTTCTTAAAGCTGTCCAGTTGTTAGAAAACAAAGTTTTAAATACGTAGCTTGGAGTTTAATCCACTTTAAACAGACTTTGTAAAAACAATTCACATAATTTATTTAAAACAGAAAATCTTAGGGATTTAAATAATTTATAATTGTAAAAGAATTAATAGTGACAATTTGGCAGTGACACTAAAAAATAGGATCCCGTCTGCGAGTAAATCCCAATTTCAAAGCATTTTTACCAGTCGGTCAACAAAATATGGATATTCGAGTAAGATTTTTATTGTCCCGGTCCAGCCAGGCTCTTCTCCATGAACTTCTTTTTGGCAAAGCATGTCCACCATTTGTTAGGCTTGCCGTCCTCGGTGCTAAAGACCTTCTCCAATACACGGTTTCCGGTTTCATGACGCAATTGCAGGAGGTACTGGCGCATCAGATCCGCATCCTGGGCAGTTTGCGGCTTGGCATAGACGGCGTTCAGGGGAAAACCGGCGTCGCCGGGAATGTCAAACTTAGAGATGGCCAGGCTGTACATGTCCTGCTGCCCTTGAGCCTTACTAGTTGACCGATTGAGCTTCTTCAGGCACTCGGTAATGTAGAGTGTCACATAGATAAGCACACGATCCACATCGGACTGATAAAGGAAAACACATGACAGTTAATACCCTTGAGTGAGATGTATCTTTTCCTCTATACACTGCAGCCATACAGACTAGTCAAGGATTATAATCACTACACTGATCCTAGTACCTCGATCTCACCTTGATTTCGTATGTCCGAAAGAAGACATTCGCTTTGAAGAAGTACAGTGACTCATCGATGATGTCGCTCTCAACATTTGCACTGGGCGCTGGTCCGCGCACCTGGGTCCTCAACGGCAGGATGGCCAAGTTACCAACCTGCTGGCGCACTTCTTTGATTTGTGAGTGGTAGGCCTTAAAGTGTTCAAAAATTAGATAAATTGCATTTTTCGGAAAGTGCTACCTGGCAGGGGGTAACAAGAGCAGGTGAAAATCCGATATATATCTCAAGGATACAAATTGAACTGGCTATTGCACGGAGCTATATACTTACCGGCATGTTTAATTGTACAAAATCCCAGTTTCTAATTAACGTTTTTAAATTATTATGATTTTTTCAATACAAAAAGAAAACAATTTGTAGGCGTCCACTATTTATGAAATTTCCACCCCTGACTTATCGATAATTCGGATAGATAGCCTCGTTTTAGTATTTTATTTTCAGCACGGTCATACTCTATTGCAATCGGCGCAATATTTACAACTTTAAAGAAAAATAATCAAAAATCTATAATTTTTTAAATATTAAGTTGAATCTTTAAAAAAACTCAAACTGTTTAACAATAAACTTTTCCTGTCAGAATTAAAACATCAAATGTTTAACAAACTTAATTTCCGTAAAAGGAAGACAAAAATTTTCGATGTGTGCGCGCCCTTAAAAGGAGTAGATTTGGATTTCACTTTCTATGGATCAAAGTAAAAACTTTATTCAGAACGTGGGCAATATCTCTGGCCAACTGAATATCAGACAATTGGAAAGATCTGCTATGGCCTACAAGCGGCTGTGCTTTGAATTGGAGTCAATAAACAGTCCACAACCGACTCCATCCATTGCTCCACCTTCTCCTCCTCTGACCCCTATCACCACTCAGGGGCTTCGAGCAAGTGCATCGGAATTTGTGCCACAAGTGCCGCTCAACAGCGACAGAATTCCGACCGATATGGAGAATGAACAAGATGAGTACTCGGATGATGATGGCTACGATGTTGAACGCGCCATGAGAGCTGTGAGTATAGAGGAGAAATAATACTTCATAAATTTAAATAACTTTTCTTTCAGCCCAAGCCCGCAATCTATGGCCTTCGGTATTACAATAATCACTATGATTCCGAGGATGTGAGTGAGAATCACTTAGAGGCGGAAAAGAAGAGAAAGTTTAGCTATAGGGCTCCAAAGTTCCGCCCAAATCAACCATCTGGGCGTCCTCTAAAAACTGAATCAAGTTCAGTATCCGCTACGCCCGCGGAATTTTCCAATGGACAGCCGCATTTTAAAGGACCCTATATGCCACTCCTGCAGCATCGTATCGCCAATGCTGAGGCTTACGGGCTTATCAGGGGTCCCAACGAACGGAACAGTCTGCTTCTAGAAGACATGGTTAAGCAGCTGGCCCGTCTAGAACACTGTCCCTTCAATCTTAATTCGCTTTTTCGGGGCAGAAGCCCACAGAACAACTCATCATAGATAGCCTAGTATTCTCAATTAAATTTGAAGAGTTTCTTAATAAAAGAAGGCGCTGAATTAGTCGTCGAATTGCTATTCAGATCTATCAGTAGTTATTTATCGTTATTTAGCTAAAAAATAAAAAAATGGGTAAAAAGAATAATAAGTACAAATCGGTGACACCCCAAAAGAGTGTTTCGGTCGTAAGTTTTAAAAGTTAGCTGAAGTTCATACAACATTATTTCCTCTATAGACTGAAACCAAAAAAGAAACCGAAACTCCCAGCGCTGATGAAATAAAGGTCGTTGAACCGAAACGTCCTGATCTTAAGGAACTTTCTAATGAGATGGCTAAAAAGCACATTGATCAAATGTCAGCTCTTTCTACAATGCCACTGCGTTTGGATCACCAAATCAGATCCATTAAGACCCTTCAACAGGAGCTCTTCAAGCTTCATCTGGAGCAGATGACCCTTCTGGACGGCTGCACAGATTTCCTTCTGGAACTGGACGCCGTGCATCCGACTAATGATCTCGAGATGAAGATTGTCCTGGAGACATTTTCCGAAGTCAGGACCAAGTTATCTGAAGTGTTCGAGCATTTCCTACCTGCTCAATTGGACTTGCTAAAGCACGAAACGAAGCTCTTGCAGATTTCCAACCAGTTGTTGACCAAGTAACTTAGTAATCATTGTTTATTACAATACAAGAATAAACAAAGGTATAAATTGTATTAGGCAAATCAAACTCATATAATTCTGGACTTATGTAATGTCGGTATTTTTGGTGCAACATTTTAAAAAATCCGTTAAATTTCGATTGCTTTTTCAGAAATAATCTATCGATAGATTCTTTTCCGTATCAGAAAATTACCATCGCTATATAGTAGCGCGAACAATTTTAAACTTTTTGTGACTAAAATGAATCCACCGCCTTCACGGGGACGCGCCCCATCTAGATTTGTGCGTGGGCGTGGTCGTGGAGGAGGCCCTTACCGTCCGTACTTCTACTTTCGCCGCAATGGACGTGTGATCCCAGCCCGTGGCAATCGACAGCCAAACAGGGAAGAATCTGGAGCACCTGGCGGTTCTGGTGATGATCCGCCTGCAAAGCCGACAACCCAGAGGTTGGAACCGCACAACCAGTAAACGAGGACGCGATGTCCACTTGGACTGCAGCTTTCTGCGTCCTGAGAATTATGCTGCTCCCGAGGATGGACTTCAGGTTCCGAGCATTGCGGTGGACAATCCACGAGCTCATTCCGGTTGGCGGCTTTACTTTCTACGCGATAACTACGAGGAGGGCAATGAACTGGCAAGGAGGATTATGGCCGTGTCGGCACATTACCAACGCAATCCTCACAACTACGATTTTATGATGATTCGTGATCGGGGATTCTTTCCCCTGCTCGCCCTGACCATTTTGTCAGATGTCCAGCTAATGGAGGCTTGGCCTAGTTTGTCCGATGATATCAGAGAGCACCCTCTTCGCACGCTGGCCACCCTATCTTTGGCCATGCATACGGTGGTGGTGAACCACGTCCTAGATTGCAATGATTCCTCGGCTAGTGTAGTCTCCACTCCGGAACAGTATATTCCACCAACTACACGGCTACGCAAAATCTACGTGCGACCGATAGACTTTGTGAAAGTAGATAATATGGAAGGAATCACCCACTCCCGCGTGGACACTTTGCTCTCAATCCGCGGAACTGTGACCAGTGTAGGAGAGCCCAGCTACAGCTTGACTTGGCAGGCTTTTCGCTGCAGCCGCTGCCAGATGGAGATCGCTATGCGCCAACGAGGAACATTTCAGCCACGCCCTTACCAATGCAAACGATCTGAATGCGTGGCGAGGGATGAGTTTCTGCCGCTTCGTAACTCTCCATACACTCGGCTTTCAATCAGGCAGATCATTCGCCTTGAGGAGTCCAGTCTGACTTCAGTCCATGATTTCGAAAGCAGCGTCGCTGGGGAAATTGATGTAGAACTGCGACACGATCTGGTAGATTCTATAAGAGTTGGCCAAGAAGTCATTATAGCCGGAGTACTTAAGCTGCAGGAACTGGGCGAGGATACATCAGCAGGAGATGCTTCCAATCAGATGCAGGCCTATCTCAAGGCAGTCAGCATTCAGGATGCTGCTGGCATTAAGCGGGAATTTAGCGATCGCGACTTGGAAGCCATTGCCATGATCAATGCGGAATCCAATTCCTTCAAGCTCCTTGTGCAATCCATTGCCCCGGAGGTTTATGGACATGAGCTTCCCAAGGCCGCCTGTTTGCTATCCCTTCTCGGAGGTAAAGGGGCAGAAGATGAAGCCATCAATATTCTCCTGGTGGGCGATCCTGGTATCGGCAAGACCAAGATCCTCCAAAGCTGTGCTCAGATCACAGAACGCGGTGCCCACGTAAGTGGAAAGCGAGGGACCCAATCAGCCCAGCAATTGGGAGTGACCTTCGTTGGAAGGAACAAACGCGTCCTCCAAGCAGGTGCATTGATGACGGCTGGAGGAGGCGGGCACTGCACACTGGATGATGTGGACAAGCTTGCCTCCAAGCAGGCAGTACTATTGCAGTGCCTACAATCGGGAGAAATGAACATTCCACTGCCTGGAGCCTTCGCATCGTTCCCAACACAACCAACAGTAATAGCCTGCGCAAACCCCCAAAGAGGACAGTACGATGAGGGTCGTTACCTCCTGCAGAATATCAATATTACTCCAGCCCTGCTTCGTAAATTTCATCTGGTCTACGTATTACTAGACAAGCCCTCCGAGCGGGACATGTCTCTGACTGCCCATGTAAGGGCTCTCCATGCTGGTGCCAAAAAGCGGGCTAGGATTGCAGCGCGGTATGCTATGAAACCCAAGATGAGCGATTCCATGTGCGAGGCCACCTTTCATGTGCCGGGGACAGGAGAAAAAGACTCTATAAAAACGGAGGATGACAATGACAGCGTTATGCAGCAAGATTACGATTTGGACAAGCGGCTGGAACTCTTGCCAGAGGATAGCGACATGGACCTGCTGCCACCCATTCTGATCAAGAAGTTTTTGGCTTATGCCCGCCAGGAAGTGAGTCCGCTCCTGAACGAGGAGGCCAGCAATGCTATTTTAAGATTCTTTCTGGAGCTGCAAGGAAGCAGCGGGCAAGATGAAGGCGATCATAGCCAGATTGGAGCAGGGTGAGTAAATTTTTTTTTTTGGTGTGGGTTTAAGTTATGTTCTTTATTCTAGTTATATTTAATCTATAAGTTAAGTTATTGAGCTATCTCATTAGCTTAAGGAAAGAGGAGACGGGAAGCTCCAAAAAGATGGCAAGCAGGAAGGAGCACAGGTAGGACATAGTCACCGTAAAGAAGATGAAGGCGAACTGTGGATAGAAAAGTATTGAAAATAATGCAGTAAATTGTTTAAAAAGTAAAAGGTCACTCACCATCATGCCAGTGCCAAAGTAGATTGGTTCCCGCACCGTGGCTATGACTATCCTAGCCACAAATAGATGCACGATAAAGGCTCCATAGGTGAGGCGTCCCATAATACGGAAAATTGGCAGACAGGCAAATTTTCGGAAGATCCCTGATGGAAGGTAAAACCATATAATAGGATATCCTTAAAAACTGTCTTAACCAATACTCACAACCCACTTTGCTGGCCATGCCCACAATGAAGATTCCTAGGCCAAAGCCCCAGATATTTCGCTGCAGGCCGGCATACAGAGCTCCCCAAATCGCAGATGGAGATACGTAATAGTGCTGGAAGATGGGATGAGCGCTGAACAGCCAAAGGATACCCACCGGGATGAGGGTGAACCAGAGTAGCTGGAAACTCTTCAGTTCTCGTAGCTTATATTGTTTAAGGGCCAACTGATCGTAGACCAAAGCAGCCAAGATTCCACAGAAATAGCAACCGAAGTTCATCAAGGACGAAGTGTAAAACTCGGTAAACTGACGATCTCCGATAAAGGAATCCTTCTGGGTTCTGTTTAACGCATAAGTTAGAATGATCAACTATAACTAAATGAAGCATCCAAATTACTTACTGTGGTGTTGGTATAAAAATGGGATAGTAGTCCATGGCATACGTGAGCACCATCGGAATGGCCACGAATAGAGCTAAAATGCCAGCATACAGATGCTTGCTCCATCTAGCAAACCGGTGACCCAGCATCAGCAGCACCAAACTAAGCACAAAGGAATGAGTGTCCGCTGCCAAATACCAACCTTGGAGCAGGCACTTTAGGAAGAGAATGTGGATTTTAACTGGGATTACCTTAATCATTGGTCAAATCACGTACCCGCTCATCCGTTCGCACGAAATTGTTGATGTATAAAAGATTGGTCCACCAGTTGCGTCTACAGGCCAGCTGCTCCCGCTCAAAGATGTGTCTCCACAATGGACCACCGGCATTCTCGAAGTAAACTCCGCTCATGAGCAGGACAAAGGCATACGGAATGGTCAACCGGATGTACCGAAAGATATTAAACTTAACAAAAAGCTGAGCATACTGGCCGAAACTCCAAGTTTCCTTTTTGGATTGTATAGCACGAGAAACGGCCAACCAGTTGATGGTCAACAACAAGCCACTAATCACAAAAAAGGTTACTGTAATCAGTGAACCCGAAACGAGTAAGGTGCCCGCTGCAGTGTGAAGCAATCGCTCCGGGTCCTGAGGGTTACTAATGGCGCTCTCATATATCACCCAGTTAGTATGCGCAAAAATCACCATAAACATGGCAAAGAACTTGAAGCAGTCAAGGAATCTTAACTCGCGTCCGATCTTCCCAGTTGGCTCCTGATTGAGGCGATACCAATTGCGTGCCACCGAAAAAGTGAGCAGCACCTGTTGGGCGGTACTCTTGGGTGGAGTTTTGTAGTGATCCCGTTCCTTAAGCATTTTGTCATGACGCCCACGTTTTAGGTGCAGATCCACTAGACTTCCCAGGCAGGCCAGAACCAAAAGGGCTCCAAGGATCCCATAGAAGGTCAGGTTCCAAGCATCTAGAAAGGAGATAGATGGTTATATAAGGTATGGTTCTTTGCCTTATATACTCACCATCTTCCACCTGATGTCCTGCATCATCACAATACTCCACAACGCTCTTGGCCAGCACCCCGAAACCACGACTCTGCAGCCGCCAATTTAAGCAGGCATTCGTCAATCGCTGATGCCGCTGGCGATTTGTGCCTTCCATCGAGAACAAGTCCAGATACACATTCACCTGCCAAATAAAAACGACCATGGGGGGATCGTTAAAAATACAAAAATGTCAACGTCAGGCCCTTGGCCTTGAAAGAAATGAGTGTGATTTGAGTTTGATGGAATTGGATCGGATTTCGCTGTTTCGCCGCCCATTTCCATTTTTGGCCAACGCCTAAGTCAATACAAAAGCTTTGTTTAATCAGCAATCGTAAATGCATTTTGATGGCGACTGCATCAATGGCATCGCCACACCATTCCCATCATCTCTCATCTGCCAGCTCCCATTACCCAGCCATCCGATGTTTAATCAGCGGATTTTCCGGCTGTAATTTATGCAATATTTATAGGTAATGAAGATAGAGATCACGCATTTAGCCAGAGGCGTCAGCGAAAGGTGCCCTATCAATGAAACATTTCATGTTTATTCTGGGAATTTACTTTTGTCTCGAAGAGCCCTTGAAATTTAAACACTTTCAAAAAACAGCAAACGTGTTTATAAAGACTAAAATATGTTTTAAAATAACTACTCAAATGTTGTAACTTTTTTATAGGTTTTTAAATTAATCAATAATTATAGCTTTAAGATATAAGATTCCGCTTCCTTTCCTTCCGAGAATGTATAACTCATAATTAAAAAAAAATCTGTATAAAAACCTAAAATCCCCCCAAGCTACGCCACTGTTCAGTTAATCTGCGGCTCACGTTAAACGCGAGTTGAATAAACTTTGGCGTTGTTATCCCGGCTTCTGTGTCCGATGATTGTTGATTGACCATTACGGCCGACGCCTCGGCCAGAGAGATGGGTTTTGAAATATCTGCATCTGGTCAATAGCATGTTTGAAGATTGAATTAAATCGATCGTTAGCCGCAGCTGAATCGATCCCAATGAGGTGACACCTTCGTGTGGCCTTACCTTCGCATTTTCCGACAGCAAGCCGGCTTGCAGAGCATCCAGTTCACTTTTATCCAACCCGGCCAGAGAAGCCTCACATTCGCGCAGGCAAAGGCCAAAGTAAAGCTGCTTGTGATCAAAATGATGGCGATCGTACTGCGAAATCTCAGTAATAGCCCGCCAGGCAGCCACCGACTCATTTGGCTGAACTTCCGCCCGGACAAAACAGTATGTAGACCCCTGGCCGTCAAACTCCTGGAGGCAGCGATCATAGTCATCCAAGTCGTAAAGCGGCGGCATCTCGTAGAACTGCGTCACTGCAAGGCGGAAGGGAAAGAACAGATCGAGAAACATCATGAGGAATCAGTCGGATGAATCAGCTCATTAAGTGAGAAACTAGTTTCTAGACTGGGCAGATCCTTTTTCGCTAGAACTACAATCCCGGGTTCAATGGACAGTGTTAACTCAAGTGAAAGGAAACTTGTTTCCTTTGGACGAACTTGAACTTGTTTTGCATTTGCTTTGCTGCATCTTCATCTCTATTCCGATTGAATCGAATAACCAAATATACAAATGTAAATATTGTAATTGTTTTGCCTTTTTTTTTTTGCTGGTCAAGTGAGTGCCTCAATCTCTTGTCAAATTCCAGACACTTTGGCTGAGTTAATTGTTTGTCAAAATACTGCTCCGTCATCGAAGTCTCGAGAGGTTTTTGAGCCACCAATTTGGGAGGGGAACTTTTACCACAGAACACGCAAGTGGGAGGCACAGGTGCATATTAGGGTAATACTACCTTTGGCAAAGTGTTCTATAGGTTCTATAGTTATATCGATTGACAAGCATAACATGCAATCTGAACAAATGTCACTGCATAATGGATTATGTGATTTTTTTTTCTATTTTAACGGTTTAGAACTTCCCCGGTTAGCAATAGGAAACACGAAAAACGCTTATTCAAGATAAATTAATCATAGACTTTACATGATTTGTGGTTTTAACCACAATTTGTAAATTATACTTACTAATCCGTGTTCTATCTACAAGTATAGAGGCAAATATTAGCATATTTAATATTTGACTACAAATTTAATAGTCATATTTCATAAATTTGACTATTTGAATTTATAAACATTTGACTGCAACTTATTGTTATAAAACTCTTTCTTATTCAACAACTATCAGAATTTTTTTATAGGGTCATAAATCAAATTAGTACCGAATATAAATCCTGAATATTGATTATTAGGTGTTAAAAAAGATATCAACTTACTGTTCAATTGAAAGCATTGCGCAGCCGTAAAAATCGTCGTTAATATCACGATGTGTAGCATCATCGTGGGATGAATGTATCGAATCGCTGCAATCGTAATGCACCCTCTAATTGATTGACTTTGAAAAGACTCTTGGCACTTTCGTCACTCAAACTCCAATCAAATGCAACGCCAGCGCACCAATAACAATAAGAAGCGGAATTTCATCAACGCGACGCGACTCGAAATAAATGAAGTAAAACAAAGCAGATGACCAGACCCAGGGGCTTCTGCTGCCTGGCCAATGCCAATGTTAGGAAATGCACTTTTGGCCTAAACTCAGCCAATCCAATATAAACCGGAGCCGAACCGATCTGCCAGCTAATGAACCGTTTGCGCCAACGTGCGAGCCGAGAATGAAACGCGGCCCAAACAGATGCGTGCCGTTATGGCCTATGGATGAGTTGAGGGCTCGCTGCCTCAGCCTCAGTTTCAGTCTCTGCCGTTGCAGTTGCTGTAATGATCGGTTTCAAAACTTCCCTCGAGAAATGCGTTGGTTTCCGAAAATCAAAACAAAAATGAAAAGGCAAAACGCGTTGGAACATGTTCGATGCTGGGCACTTAGTCGCCCACATCCAACTGATTTATGTTTACATTTTGGGGTTTCGGCCAAGCTAGCAGTTATAAGGCATGATGTTACAACCATCTGGGCCTATGATTACCAAAATTGTTCTTTGGCAAAACAAGTTTTAGGCAAATATGGATTTATGTAGATTATCAAACTTCTGAATAGAACTGTTTACCACGACGTAAATGATGACGAAAACAAGATGCGAAATTAATTAGGGTTCAAGAAGATGGGGCCGACCCAAGGCCTAAGGCGCTAGTTTAAATAAACTTGGCTGAAATAGCTAAGAATATGCCAAAAGGGAAATCAAAAGATTCAAGCAACAAACTTGCTTTCCAAATTTGGGAAAGGAAACTTTTTAAGGAACTATAAGGTTAACTTTGTTTCACGTGTACGATTTATTAATTATGTTTTTGGTTATCTTTTTTAGAATAATTTTCTTCTTAATGACATCATACTTAAAGAAAATTCTTAAAATTTAGTAATCTTTTAATCCCATTTCAGACAACTCCTTGGTCTTATTCACCTGTCCCAGGCACGTGCTCGTCTGGACTTGTCCCACGTGGTCAGTACCCAGCACGTGCGCGATGTGATCGCCCTGCTGACCGAAAGCATCACCCAGACCAGCCTCAAGGCGGACTCTAGAGGATCCGAAGTTCGCAGAGGTGGTGGTGGAGGTGGTAAAAGCGCTCAGCTGCGCAATTTTGTGCACTTGTTACAAAAACGCTCGGCGGCTTTGGGACGGCGAATCTTTGAGTTCGATGAGCTGAAGGAGATCGGAACGCGAGCTGGCATCTTGACCGGCTTCAATCAGCTGGTGGAAATGGCCAACTTGGGCGGCTATTTGCTCATGAAGGGCGCAAACATGTACGAAGTGGTTCCGGACTGAGGGCAAGCGACAAATTAGCGAATCAATATTTGACTAGTGTCTGTGGATTTCTTTCCTGTTAACTAGTTAAGTGGGTACTAAAATAACAGGGGACTTAGGTTAAAATAAAAATAGGTATTACGGAAATGATGGTTTTGGTTGAGATTTCAATGTTAAATATTTAAAAGTTGTAATTGAATACCCAAAAATTTGTTTCTTTAAATCAATTTTTATAACCAACAAACGAAACATACTTTAGGGAGCTTATTAATTTAGTTTCGTAGCTACACTGAGTGTTAAAAGTATTTCTGCTTATATGAGTTTCCTTTAAGAAATCGAAGATTCAACTTAGCTTAATATATTTCCTATATGTACATATATCAATAGAGGAAATCATATAACAAAAAGTTATTCCAACCAAAACAAAACAAACTTTTCATAATTGGTTTCATTTAATACTTTATTTCCTTGTATCCATAAAATTAGATATAATGAATAAGTTTTTATAAATAAATACACAAAACAGTTGTATCCGTTAGAAGTGATCCATTGATCTTTGCTTTTCTCTTACGTTCTGGATTTAAAGTTCTAAAGTTTATGTCTTGTTTGCTTTGAATGCTTTGTTTCTGTAGTCAGTAGTAACTATTTGAATGACCCTCGTATACGTCATGTATACCAGAGCTGAGAGGGAGACTTAGGTCTAAGTGGTTTTTATCGGTTATTAGAGCTATTTTTTACCGTGCCTGGAAATCCTAATCGACTATTTACAATATTGCTAGTGAATGTAATGTAATATTTGGCTTATATCTTTTTTTTGCTACCCCACTACGTTGCTCATTTAAAACTTATATCCTACATACACTTGCTGTGTATATATATTTAGGGATTTTACAATCGAGATATTTCTGTATTTTGGTTAGTTGAGATTTAGATCTAGGATTGGTTACAGATTAATTGAGATTAATAATACATGCCAATTTTGCAATCGTTTTAGGCTAATCAGTCTAAACAAATCGATGCGAACGCCAATCGCGCAAACTAAAACCAAAATTTATCTAATTTTCTGTCTAAATATTTCCATCTAAAATGAAGCTAGTCCTTAATCTAAGCTATATCATTTCCATAGTGCGGTTTAGTTCAAGATTATTGCACAAATGTTTTAATAATGAGGGACTGGCTAACCGGAATGCATTGCCCAGGGCAGTCGAGTTGCTTAGTTTTGGCCTATTGCATTAAGTCATGATGTAGGTTTGTTTATGTTTGGGTGGGTCGAATAATACTTAAAATAAACTATGGATTCTACAAATCTAACAATTATCTATGGCTAACTCTAAGCATATTTTCACTTGGATCAAATTGGTCTTAAAGATTTTAAACTAGCCTCATTTTTTCTTAAGCTTTAACCTAGCAAACCAGCGATCAATCAGTAAGACAAATTTGCTTAGAATTATTCATAAACCTTCATTCTATATGAATCAACAAAAAAAAAACCTAACCACCCTGTTTTATGATTATAACTATGTCGTGTGCTTTGTACTTTCAAAACTGTTGGAGACAGAGAGTGTAGACGTGACGAGAACTAAATAAAGCTGAAAACTTTGCACTTGGCGTTTACCACTAACTATTAGAACTAAACCACAAATAAATATAGTAAATATTTCCGCTAGATAGTCTGTGACGACCTTACACCTCCGAGCGGAATGTAAGGTTGAAGGTTCGCAGCTCCATGGGTTCCAGACTGACTTCAGCCAGAGACCGTATGTGAAAGCTTTCCTTTGACGGTTTCTGCTCCGTCCCCGTCAAACTGGTTGCCTCGATTGTGTGTAGTGTAAGGCGACCCAACTGAACGTTGCCCAATCCCTTGCTGGATAGGGGACATACTGACTCCATGGATAATTCCCTGCCAGCGCTAACACTGCAGTCGAAGCCTTGACGATGCAATACTAGCAGCGCCGAGGCGGACGGAAACAGCTGCAGCTCCGGATCGGATAGGGTACGCAGGGTAGTCAGGTGAACGTCGCAGGGTAGCGCTCCTTTAGGTAAAAGCCTAACCAAAGGCAACAGGGCGGCGGTCAGTTCTGGTTGCTCCAGACTGCTAACGAAGTAGAGATTCGGCGGGTAACGCAGGTTGTTGGCCAGATGTTGGGCCTGTTGGCTGAGAACCTTGTAACTGGGTGGCTGGGTAACATGCTGACCACCAGGTAGGTCCTCTACAAGCAGCCAGAACTTGTGGCGCGTAAGTCGGCTGTCCACGACGCCTTCGCCCATTCCACGGTAATCGTCATACAGTGTTCGTCTGTCCAGCATGACCTCCAGCTGGCCTGGCTCATAACTAGCCACTCCTTGAGCATGAGTGGTTAGCAGGGTAAGACGTAGTCGAGAGTCTTGGATAAACGCGCCCGAAGTGATGGGAAAGTAATTGCCTTCGATTCCGATAGCCGGTACCTTGATGCGTCTAAATAAATGGAGGACAAATTTAGTTAGTGGTTTCTTGGTTTTTCCTGCTTTTCTCAACTTACTCATGATACTGGAAGCCATTCTGATCACTGTAGAAGACAGGCAACTCGGGCATGGTTGCCGTATCTGATGGTTCCTTCAGCGGATCCCGCTGCTGCGGCACTTGAGCAATATTATCGATGTTAGTCACCAGCCGCATAAACAGCTCAGTCTCCCGATTTTTGGGTGGCGGCTCAAAGTCTATATCGTTTTCCACATATATTGCGGCATCGAGGTGTGTCCGCGTGTTGAAGATTCGCACTGTGTGAGCTAAAAAGGGTCCATAGATGACGGTCACGTCACTGGCTATTGGACCTGAGGTGATGATGATGCGCATATCAGTGTAGCCCTCAAGCACTTCTTTCTCCGCCTCGCTTTGCTCGGGATCGGTTTTGAAAAGATAAGCACCCGAGTGGAACTGGGCACTGCGATATGCGGCGAACTTGATATTGCACTGAAGAGGCTTGAGTAGCTCCTTTTTTTGGTTTTTGCGCGTGATGGTCTTGAGGAAACCGCTCTTCTCGTCGAACAGCAGACGCATGTGGGGGTTTTCCAACTGAATGTCGCCTATGGGTGATATTTTATACATAAGTTAAGTTTTCTTACGTAATTCATTTTATTAGAAACTCACCCTCCGGCTTGCCATGTGCCTGGAAAACAGGAGCTGGCAAGGCTTCGGTTTCCTCCGCTGGACTCACAGCTGCTGTCGTCGTTTCCGTGCAGTCCTCACAGTAGATGGTGGCTATGTTCCGCTTGAAGTTAACTTCGTCTACTTGGACCCGATACGTGGTAAGAGACAAAGGCTCCAGTTCAGCCACGAACATTACTTCGAATTGACGGGTCGAGGTGCGAATACGTCCCACTGTACCAGAGACAGAGGTGCCCAAGCCCTGTTCGTAGGTATCCGTGATATTCCATACCGGATTGATCTGAATGTGATTCAATTCCACGCCCTTATCGTTAAGTATCTTTACATTGGGATGCTGGACACGGAGCGTAACGATTTCTAACCGCTTCTGAGCCAACGAATTGTAAAGGACAAAGCTGCCCACTGATCCTGTGGAAGCTGAGCCACCAGCTCCTCCCTCGCCCGCCGAAACAGTGGGCGTTGAATCGTCGCCATTGGCCATTTGAATGGGCATCTTTCTGGGAAGCTTATTGAAGTTATCTCGCTCGAATTCGCTGAGTAGAAAGCCATGGTTTCGAGGCTGTCCCTTCTGCAGAAGGAGCTCCAAGCAGGACTCCTGCATTTTAACCATGTTCTGGGTGCTCTCAAACAGGCGCATAGCATAATCCCGCATCACTGCTGCCTTTGAGGTACCAGTGATAGCATCGTGATGCTGAAAGAGTCCCAGATTCCGTCTGGCATTAATAATCAGCTCGTAGTTCTTCTCATAAATCTTGATCGCATTCTCCCGCTTCGCCTGGCGAGCAGTGTTGTATGCCAGGGTAAAGACGATCTCTGCGGAACGCAGCTGGTGCTCCAGCTCCGAGCTTAGCAGTTTATAGAAGGGACGTGTTGTAAAGTAACCCGACCAGTAAGCTGGTCTGCCTTCCGAGAAAATATCTGAGTACACAAAGAAATCACCCTTGAAGCTTGGAAAACCAGGAGTACGATCCTTCATGCGCTCCTTGATGGCCTCGAAGTAGTCACTGGGAGTGCCAAATCGGATATCCGCGTTATAAAGTCGTTTATTGGCCATGATGTGATCTATAAGCTTCTTGTAGTTCTGATACTGCTGATCCACTTCACGGTCCTTGTTGTACCGAAAGTCATCGCCCACCGGGATAAGAGCCACGTTGTGTGGAAAAAGTGAGGCAGTTCTGGAATATTGTTCCAGCAGCAGCTGCGCTTTGGACTCCAGATTGTCGTCAGTGATGAATTGAGCCTTCACCGAGTACTCTGTGTACTCTCCGGGAATCTTGCGGAAGTCAAAGTTTAGGCAGATAAAGGGATGAGGGCCACAGGAACCCTTTATCGAGTAAATATCGAAAGGCATGTTATGGGTAAGCAGACTGCCAGTTTCACTATCCTTTCCATTTCTACTCCTCCAATACGGCTTCCAGATGAAGTCACCCGACTGCTGACGGGCAAACCACTGTTTCCAGGCGTAGTGAATCCGCTGGATGATGGTACCCTCGAAATTTGCTCCAGATAGCAGATACGGCACCGTACTGCCATGACCAAATGGATCTATAGACCATCCTACTTTTGGTGTCACATTCAGGTTGTTCTTCAGCCACTGGTGACCTTCGATAAGCTGATCCAGCATCGGATAAATATGGACATTCGCCTCGTCCGTCATCACCCATCCACCGGTGGTGATCTCAATGCGTCCAGCGTCAATCAGTCGCTTCAGAGCTCGTTGTTTGGTGGGATGCGCCTGATCCCACCACAGTTGCAGGAAACTGATCTCCGACCAAATGAAGGTCATGTCTGTGTACTCCTGCATCTTGGTAACCAGCAGGTTGAGGATCTGCCGCGAGTCCGACTGGAAGTAGTTAGTGAAAGTCTTTAACCATCCAGGATCATTATGGGAGTGCGGGACCACTATGATCTTCAGTGGTGGCCGCTGTTTGTCCTTTTTCTGCGCATCAAAGCGCTCTTCGAATCCACGATCCCAGTACTCCTTTGAGCGCATCCATTCCGGCTGGAAGAGGAGATACTTTTAATCAGGTTTCTTAAGAGGATTGCATTCTGTCTTCTTACCTGAAAGTCGAACCTACTGTGTTCCTCGCTGGCAGTTATATTCGTGTTGCTCTGGATCAGTTCGTAGCACTTGTCACCCCAATTGCTGTTGGCGTACACCTCCTCTGGTTGCAGTTCTGGTGCCTCTGATGTTTCCACCGCCTTTGTTTCAGAGGATCTCTTTTGATTCGAGACGACCGCAGTGTGCTGTTTCTGTTGATGTATCATTGAGGATGAGCCTCCTCCCACACTGAAACCGGATAAAGCATTGAATGGTGATCCTCGTATCGCCACCGAAGGAGCACCCGTCTCGGAAATGGGCGCCGGATTGGGCTGCCCAATGGAGATGTAGTAGAGGCAGAGGAGGATCGTGACGAACGCCGATAGTAGACCGATGCAACGCGCCGATCCGCGGCGAAAGAGCTTGAACGACATCCTGGTTAGTGGATTGCGTTTGCTTGTTCCCGGCTGGGAATCCCCGGGACGATCTGGCTGCTGGGCTTCTTCTTTTTCCTTATTTAAACTATGTTCTACATCTGGAAATTGGAAGAATGATTTAAATTGGGTTTTTAATTTCTTTTAAAATAAAATAAAAACCCATTCTGAGTTCTTGAATATTCTCAATATTTCAAAATATTATAACTTTCATGCGCCCCTTTTATTTATCTGCATCGTTTTTAATCCAAAATAACTATCATTTAAGCCGTTTATGCATGCAAAACACACAAAAACTCGTAAATTCTCCTGCATCCATTCCAATTCATTCTTAATCCGGCATCTGATTTTATTTTTTCCGGACTAATCCTGTCTGGGCTGTCCTTGCCGCAAGAGTGTTTGAATATTTTATGCGGAAGAGGGCAGGAAGTTTAGTAGAGAATTTAATTAAACCAAAACAAGGACAAAGGAGGGTGCAAGTGCCTGGGGCCTGGTGTAAAGAATGCATAAATGCTTCTCAGGGATAAGGAAAATTCTAAGCAAGGACCAGGAAATGTGCTATAAAACTGAATTGATTAAAATTAAACGAAAAATCATTTCCCTTTAACCATAGAAATATAAATTCTGGAACTAAAAGTGTGTGATGTAACCTTCTATGGTCCCTGTTTAAGTTCAAAGTTCAGGCTAGCAACGTCAGCACATCACAAATACCCAAACACGCAAGTCAAACTAACTAAACGAACTATGCAAAACTGAAAACTCAATCAAAAACTCTTCACATGTTCGCAGAACTTTGCGCAATGATGAAATTATTGCATAGTTTGCCACAAACTTTCATACATGATGGAGGAGCTCAAAAACCATGGCCAATAGCCCCCCATGGCGGCCTAACAAATTAATAGACAAGACAAAAAGGCTGGAAAAACAAATGAACGAACGAGTTTCCACTACAGCACATGATTTATTCACTTTTATTTGCCAATGGCCATAATTTAGGTTTTTTCTTCCCTTTTTTGTATTTCTGTTCGACACGCAGAGAAAACATTATCTCCTGCCAACTGAACGTTGAATTCAATTTAATTAAAATTTAAAAGCATTTAAGGTCCGTCGAGCAGCAGCATCGTTGCAGGCTTGCAGCTCCATTCAAATGTTTCACTTGGCTAGCACATGGGGCAGGGGCAGGGGCGTCGCTATAGGGGAGCTAGCTCTATGCTAATCAGCGGGCATTAACTGATGTTGCCACAAGCCACCACCTGTCACCCAGTGTAGCCACCGTTGTTGCCCCGCTCACATAACCCTCCTCAAACCAACTCTTATGGTAATTTAAGCGTTTTCCCTACCCCGCGTCCCAAGTGCCTCATTCATTTCTCCACTTTTGCCCCCCCCCGCACAGGGAAATGTGGCAAATGTGCTATAAAAAAGAAAAAAAGAAGAAATTACTGAGAAACCAAAGCTTAAGCTCTCTTGAAATGCACAAAGGGGAAAAGATGCTACAGATTCTGGGGGAGCCAAGCACTTTGAGATCTCTGATACTGGAAAAACTTCTCTTTGCCCAACAATTCCCAACAAAGTTTGCCTCAATTATTTCAATTAGTCGAATATTTTCACTTCCTTCCGACCAAGGAGCTAAATAACTTCCTGTGAAAGGAAACCGACGAAGGCAAGCGTCAACTGCTTGGGGCAGCTCGTCCTTGACCCCCATCAAAAGATTTCGTCATCAAATTTATCCTGAAGAAATGCACAGGAAAAATTTAAGTCGTTCTAAGACATTGATAAGAAAATGTCCTCAGTGGAGGAAGAAAAATTTTGTTACTAAATTTTATAACCAAACACTTTAATATTTATTGACAGAATGTCTTTTTTAATCCTCATAAAATATAGAATTAAATGTACATTTTTGATCATAATATTCCCTTGTTTTCCCTGTGTAACCAACTAAGAAAGTCATCTTTTCTGCTGTCATCACGAATGTTGGCAACAGTTTTCTGGCAAATTTGATTCCATTGCAAATTGCACTTTGTCAACCTTTTTGTGAGTTCCTCGAATGGATGACAACCTTCATCTGGGAGTCAACACGTACGTATAGCATCCTTCGGTTTCCTTTGACGTGTTAGACTTCTTCATTTTTTTTGTGGCTGCCTTTCCGTCACTTTTCTCCTTCTGCACAATATAATTTCAAGTTGGAAAATCATTTTGTTTTTTTTCGTTTTTTTTCCCCTTAGCTCTTTTCCTGTCTCCCGATTGTGGGTGTGCGTGTTTGTCTGTTTTTCTATCCGTCCTTGTATACACCAGAAAACCCAACTCAAAAAGTCAGCTTTGCTGCAAGTCCCTAGTTCCAGTCGTCCATGCCCTTTTTTGCCCTGCTGTTTTCTTTGCCCCTTTGCGCCCATTGAAAACCCTCTGAAGGAGCTTAATTTCGTTTGGAGTTGCAACTTGAGGCGCCCATGTGAATGTTTTCAATGCAAATGGATATTTGTGCTACCCTGTGTGATAAATCTAAGGGTATATGGGTTATTCTTCCTTAATATGTGTTGGTTATCTTGGATTCTTTAAACTAAAAACCATTCTAAATCCGAACTAACCATCAACTAAGTACATTCACTACAGTTGTTCGAGACAAACACTATTGGAATGTTTTAATACCAAGCCAATACGAGGTATCTGCTAGTCTCATCACTTCCCCCCAATAGTATTTACGTTTTGCCATGATGTATTGGTTAGTTCGGTTGCTTTTCTTTGTGCTCTTGCCAACCAAATTTGTAGTTATGTAGTTTTGTGTATGGAAAACTTTTCTGAAAGCCCTCCGAATCAATTGTTAACTTTGCTGTTAGCTATTTTCCTCATTTTATGGGTGGGCGTAGAAGTTTCGTATTGAATTGAATAACACAATTTCATAATACTTTTTTCAAATTGAATTTTAGTTTACAAACTTTCCTACAATTGAAAAAGGGAAACAAATCATTCGCCTTTTTTGTCTTCTACTATTACAAGAATATAATCACAGTTGCGACACCTGTAAAGGCCAGAAATAATCAGAGAAATCATTTCCTTTTAATTAAAACTTTCTGGCAAAAAGTTAATTGAAAGTCATTGCAATCACCTAAGGAATTTTAAAAGAAGGCCAGGCCAAGAAAGAAACGCCAGACAGAAGGCAGAAGTGTGAACGTAAATTCAGTTCAAAAATGGTAAACGTTGGAGGGCCGAAAACAACAAGAACAATAGTTTGCATAAATGGCACGGAAATTGCAGCTGCAGCTGAAGGCAAAAATGGACAAAAAAAACATTTCCCGAGCCCCTCAACAAACTTAAAACGGTTAAAAAACTGTTTTCTTAGCGGCAAACGCAAAAAGTTCCCCAAAAAATAACCAGCAAAAAATGAAAAGGGAGAAATTAAGTTCAACAAGCCAATGTTTTTATACCCTTTAAAGGTTTTTATATAACTTGAAGTGATCAGTTTGAGTTATGGTTACTATAGGTTATATCTCTAGGATAATGGTTTTTAACTTAGTAAATGCAATGCCTACTTTATCAGCTGTTTTATTCAAAAGTTTTTAAAAAGTTTAAAGAGACAAATATGAAAACCTTAAAAATACCCTGCAGTTTGTCACATTTACAAACTACTTTACAAACTTATATTACCCTTATCAAAGAGTATGGAAACACAAATTTCAACTCTGACTTTGGACTTTGGGAGTGGCAGCTGAGCTTCCCTTTGCTCCCTTTTTTTGCCGATGTCAGAGAATATGGGCAATGCCAGCTTCAGCGAGGGCAAGGAGTTTAGTCGGGTCCCAAGAACTTTACAAAGAGTTCATGCTTTTTTAATTAAAGAAACTAACGTTGCACCCAAAAGGGGGAACACAAAGATGGGGGAAAGGGTGAACAACCAGTTATGGCAATTTTCCGGAGCAGATGAGCATGAGTAATGCGCCGGTTAAGCCGCCAGTAGAGCGTGTGGGTTTGGCATGTGCCCACCATATAATCGTATGAGACTTACAAAAAAAAAAAAAAAAAGAAGAAATTTCAACAAATAACTTGAGACCATCCGGGCCAAGTTGGGCCAAACTATGGTCGGGTCATTAGCATAGTCAGCGAAGCAAAAAACCAAAAAACAGGCCCAAGAATTATGAGAATTATTTGGTGGGGGCGACATATGGAGGGCAATTACCACAGGAAGTTGTCAAGATCTAGGAAAAGATTTAACAGAACTGTGATTATAATTGTTCTAGTTTTCATTTTGTGTTTTATAATTGCATTTTAATGTAAATTAGAGGCCTACTTTGTCTGGGCTAAGAAGCTGTTGCCTTGTTTATTTTAATTATGGTAAGAATATGAAAATGTTCTTTGGAAATTTTCTTGGAAGTAGGTAATTGCCTTTCACCAGTCTAATAATCTGCTACAACTATCAATTAAAGTTATTACAATATTACTCATAATGGTTATTGGTTTGGGATACTTTCCATATGCCAAGTTAATATGCTTTCTTAACTAAAACTGTTATTGTTCCGCCTTAAAATTACTTTAAATATCCAACCATGGCAAACAAAAATATCACCTCTCTGTTAGAGAACTCATTAAAACCTACCCGTTGCTTTCTCCTTAAGATTTATGCTTTTACATTTTATGTTTTACAACCCATAAAACAAAGTCGCTCCCCACATATCACACCTTTTTACCTGCAACTCAGCCACCGCCCCCCGACAAACCACAATTCAGGAAAATGGAACCAAAACAAAAACAAAAAAAAACTTTGAAAAAAAGAACTCCCGCTGTATTAAGGCCCTCATGTCAATGGCAAGCCAACGAAGCGAGCCAGGAAATTTTTGAGGGGGCTGAGGGGGTGGTGCCGTTAGACAAGCAGAACTTGCAAGCCAGCCCGTCGAATTCACAGTTACTCACTTATGCAGCTACGCCATTCGTGACATATGGACAAATAGGACAACAAAAACATTACAGTCTGTCCCCATAAACTTGGCCAAAAGCACGAGCCAGCCGGACCATAAAGGGATTGTTTGGATTGTGGTAAGAGGCGAAAAACAGCGGGAGTAGCGCCAATGTTGATTAAATGTCAACAGGAAAAAAAAAAAGAAAACTAAGCAATCTA